AGTTTACGACCGACGAACGACGGACGACGACGGACGAAAAGAGATAGCAATAGGTCACCTGAGTGACTCAGGTGACCTAAAAAAAGAACTCAGATCATTCTAAGAGGAAATGTGTCTATTCTTAAGAGTGTTGCTTCCTGAATACTGTGAAATGGTATTCGTTGTAAGGAATACTGGTAACAATATAGGGATTCCAAATAGCATCCACAGATCTGGTGGCAGATTCCAACTACTTTCCAAGAAATATCTGAAAAGATGGGGAACATAAATCTCGTCATCATACAGCAGCAAATTCTGCAGATCCCGTAGAGCCCGTTGTGACCTAATTGTGTCACCCAGTCTGTGGTGATTTAGTATTAACAACATGTGTAACATCACTTGAGGTGGAACAGTTACATGTGGATTAATATTCTTCTTACTGATCTCCTGCTCTAACACTAGTTCATCAATGTAAGTGTACATCATGTGTAGTACAGTATCTCTCACTAGAGCTTTCCTCATCTTAGTACCCAGGGTATTCTTTTCCATGCAGTGTCTGTACATATCTACATTAACATGGTCCCTATACATAACAAATGGCAATAACATCCTCTCTTGCGCTTTATGTAAACACCGTAGTGAGTTTTCATATCTACGCGTTCTGTAGAAATACATAGCAAGATACAGAATGTCAGATAAACAACCAAATTTACACGACTGTTTTAGCAATGTTGATACTTTATCTGCTTTATAACAAACCTTATTGCGATTTTCGTTTAGATTAATACTACTCCGTAAGCACATGGCAGTGTTCAGAAACACTTTTGATGTGATACTTGTAAAATAACTGTCTGATAAAGTGTCAACCTTCCAGAAATCATTCTTTCTATTTGTTTCATGTAAACTGCAAATTCCTCAGCACTACAAATCTCTTGACAAAATACAGATATTTCTCCAAATAAACCTACATCTAAATCACTGCTAGATATAATACTGTTCTCGTCTGTGCAGACACTCAATGTTCTGTTTAAAATGGCTTGACTGAGGTAAGGTCTGATTGTTTCACTTAATAGTATCCCCTCACAATACAAATCATACAACTGACGGAACAATGAGGTTTGTGCAGAACCAGTGACTTTTACACGAAACATGTTGTTTTGTGGAATGAAAAAGTTAGGGCATTCTCCAATGTGTACCCAGTGTATCAATAATTTAAAGCAATCCCAGAAAAAAGACAATAGATTATCAGGTGTCCAAGCTAAGGAAGTATTGTTTTGTATAACCCAAAATACAATTGTTTTTATGAAATATGAGCAAAGAATGGGTGTATTGGTTTGACAATTAATTACTTCTTTCAAAAATAATTTAAAGAGACCATAACACAAAAACTGGCAGTGATTCATTGAGTGAACAAGTTTTTGTTCTGCTCGTGAGAATGAGACTCTCCATTCTAGCCAATTTTCAGGTGTGCTGCCAATAGGAACAACATGGAATCCTTCGCTTAATATATCTGATACAATAATCTCGGAAGGCCAAGCTTTTTCACGACATCTCTGTATCCAGGGTAGTGCTTTTGTTGGCCAGTGAGGTGACCAGAAGCAGAACGCAAAGTCTGTTTCTGAATCTTGGAATACGGAATATGTCGAACATAGGTCCATGAGGGAAAGCAGAAGCGATGGAGACATTGCTGGTCCTTATAAGAATTGCAAACAGTTATCTCTGAATAATAAACTTGAAATGTATACTTTGTTATTCATTACTACACAGGAAGAACTGATTTCTGCATAATTTGATGGACTCATCAGAATTAATCTGGTAAATCCCATCGGTAAATCATCACACTCCATGAGAATCACAGTCTGCTTTGGGATACGATAGAGATTAATCTGAGAGAGGTCACAGATTACCTTGTGGTTTGGAAGCCATAGCATGAAATCCATATCTGAAGACCTCAGTATGAATCCTTCACGTCTACTCCCACTCTTAATTCTGTTAAATCCCCTCATAATGTAAACAGGTTTATTTACAACCTCCAAAGTGTCCATCACTTCCCTCCTGATCCTCACTTCCGTAGGACTCCCTATTTCATGACACAGTCCCGCATAGACTGCCTCTGATAGTCGAGGAACGTGATACATTCCAATGTATTATAAAACAATCAAAAATCACATATCTGAAAAATAAATTATTAAACTTCAGTTTTCCTCTGTTTTAATGTGATTTTCCTCAATATGTAATGAGAGTGCTCAGCTTTTGACCAATTATGTTAATGGCCCTTGGATTTTTGAGGCATTCTCTTTTAAGGACGCAATAAAATAACACGTTATCGATCTGAGAAGAGCTCTTGAAATCCCTTGAAGATGAATAAAAGATTATACATGTACATTTTCCTAGAATTTAACAAACATCATTAAATAATGTATTTATAAGCCTTAGGTTTGTTCAGGAGTGAAATATGGAACAGTTTACTTCTAATAACGGAAATAAATTTCAAGTACTTGAGGCGCGCTTATTTCCAAAGAAATTCCCATTACTTTAATAGATTAGAGAAAAGGTAGATAAGTTTCATATAAGGGATGATTTTTATATACATACATGTATTGTCAAACCTGTATATCAGAAAATCTATTTATCTCTCGTAAAATCAACGTATCAGTAAACAGGAAAACCCCACTTTCACTTTCATTTTGTAAGTACTCCATGATCGGCAGATTAACATAACAATGTGCTTAATATTAACACTTGACAAAATGAGTACAGGCACGTATAGATTGGGGTTGGGGGGTCATTTCTTTTCCTAGAAAAGGTATTAAATTTGTATGAAAAAGGCTTCATGACCTCATTTTTTATGCGCAGTATTGTCAAATCCTCCCATGTTAATGTAATATTCAAATCCTCCCACGTTAATGTAATACTATGTAAAATTCGACAAGAAAGTTAGAGCCTACCCCCTCCCCCCCCCCCCCCCCCCGAAGTACAATTTTTGAGTTTGGTTACAGTTTCCCCAAGACCCTATTTCTTTCAGTATATTGTCAATTATTACAACCCTCCAGACGACATTTACGGCAAAATTTTATGTTAGACAATTCAATGTTTAAGTTTTCCAATAACATGCATGTTTCAATCTCAAATTCACAACCAAGAGGAATGCACCTCAACTCTGTACAGGATTCCATATCTCTATTACTTATCCTTACTATAATTATACTGACGCGTCAAATATTGGCGCAAACAGTATTTAACAATGAATTCAGAGAAGGTGGGAGAATTCTAAGGGCGATTCCCACCCATCCTTTAAATATAATAAAGTCGGAAAAGCTTTATTTAGAAAAGTGGTGTACATGAAATAAAACTTTTTCCACCTAAGAATTCATTGCCTGACTCGATGTTATCCCCCCCCCCCCCTTTCCTTTTTTTCATGCCTTTTTTTTCTAAGAATTTTTAATGAACATGTCCTAAAAAACCTGATTTGAATTATAGTAATTTGTTCCTAGAGCGTTTTCTTATCAAATTTTTCAATGTATATTCCGTATTTATTCCCTTCTAGGACTACTGCAGGCAGAGCAATATCAACCATTCAGGGATGCATTATAATTATAACAATCAATAATGTAATTTTCATTTTTTTATTGTAAAAAGAATGATAAAGTGATTCCATCATGCGACATTCGAGAAGAAAAAAAAGTTCAGACCAATTCTGTGCACACGAATGTATTTTTCAATATACTGAAAGTGACTTAAAATATTGCACTACAACTCCTAGTTCTAAAACTCGTGTAAAAATCTTCATCTTTAGTAAATAGAAGTAAATAAGAAACGATGAAGCAACATCATTCTGAAATATTCTTCATAAGAGATAAAATCATATATTGTAACTCTTGTAAATATACATAATGGCCTATAGATTTATATTGTAACATTTGTAAGTATACTAAATCTCCTACAGATTTAACAAATCTGTAAAGTTCTACATACTTTGTTATATTGAACACATCTGAGTGTGAATATGTTACAAATTTTACAATAAAACTGACGTGAATTCGCTGTAGTACCCTAACTGCAAATATGATGATAAAATATTTTCTATTCATGAACTACAGGACTAAATTATGTTAGGAACATATTTTCTTTATTAAATGTGTGTGTGTGTGTGTGTGGGGGGGGGGGGGGGGGGGGGTATCAAAATGCATGCAGCTCTTTTGTAATGAAGATACATAAGGTGTATTTTGAAACTGGAAGAATCTGTGATTCACCGGAAATTTGATTGCTCTGATAAAGATGTTGAATGTTGAATGACGACAGATTATAGACACAGAATATCTACCACATCAAGTTATAAAAATGACTGACCTCTATACTTAACAGTAACATACTTATGTCAACTGGCATAAGAAGCATTTTGTACTAGTGGTTCAATTTCTAATGATAAGGTATGGAACATATACAGAAAACTGCATCATGTACAACATATAGATAAATTTTATATCTGACTGGAACAACAGACTCAAATCAGAATTTTCCTCCTGCTTATCCCCTACTACCCAAACTCCGTCACCATAAGTGGAAAACATGCCAGGTTACTCTCTCAATTTTTTTTTTTTTTTCTTGTTTGCTACACTTAGTAATGAACTTAAACGTTGTTTTCAGAACAATTTTAAATAATTCAGTAATTGGGATTATACAATACTACTATAAATAGAACGCGTATCACATCCGTGTACATTACGTCTCATGAACCCTAACTCCGTCACCAGGGCCCTCTACGATATGTCAACGTATTAAGTAGAAATTTTTTTCCAGTGTAGTTTTTTTTCTCCCTTCATCTTTAACTTGTAAACTATAAGAATTAGTTTTGACGATTTAAAATAGCATTAAATTGTATTTTAGGAAAGTATCAACAACACAAAAAATAACGTTAATATAACGTATTTTATATGTAATAACGTCACGCTACGTTATCTTCAACGTGTAGCATATTAGGGCAAATTGAGACGAAAAATAATTATTTATTTTTAGCCGTATTCAATATGGTATGTCATATTAATCCTTTGGTAAAGACCTTCATAAATATGACTGACATGTAAAATTGAGAATATTGACGCACATATTGGAGGTATCGATGGAATAGGAGAAAAGTACTTACTGATTTCACATAAAATATGATAGATACAATAGATCAGGTATAATTGTTATTTATTTTAGAGGCATTCTTCAACTTGACAGTTATAGTATCTCGGCATTTGATTGTAGATTTTCAGCATGTAAAATATGACGTCACAATCGCATTCCTGTACAAACAGCGCGAAGTTTCCCGAAAGTGATGGAGTTAGGGTAGTGATGGAGTTAAGGGGTTTGGCGATATTGGTTTTGTTCCAAGAAACAATTATTTACCATGTAACATTCTGATACCACATTCAAAATAAAAAGTATTTCAAAGTAGAAGAATTGGATACTGTAGATTCCTAAACATACCCGAGAAGCTCCATTCGCGAAATAAAATTACTCGCTTTTATTTTTATGGTGCTGACACCTATATAAAATCTTTAGATCTATTGCCCACTCGTGATTTAATATTCTCGTGATTTGTCGTCTAAGAGTCATATCGCGATATTAAGTACTCATGTAAAATAAGGAATCTACAGTATGTGCTTATTATAATACATGAAGTAATCAGTACTTATATTAAATACATGTACACTGCTGAACTGTCTAAGAATTTTAGAAGATTATGTCAAATTTTTGTGCATAACTGTGCAACCATGTGTAAAGAAAAAAGCATCAATTTGACTGGAAGAAAAAAAAAACAATATAGACAAAATTTTATACTTTTCATAAAAGAAGGAATTTGAAGTCACATTAATTCTAACAAAAACAGTGTTAACATAAAATACATACTGATATATGGCAAGACTTCTCTTTTATAATCCAATTAAAAATGAATTTGTACATATATTGTAGGCCTAGAAATTTTTGTTCAAACACCTCAAAACTTACAGGAGTTGATATTAATAGAGAGTGACAATTCTATTGACAATAACCAGTGTTTTGTTTTTTCTTCGTGAAAAAAATGTGATTTCATGCTAGGTCACAATCAACATTACCTTCACTAAGAACATCTACATACATATGTACTTTGGCATATTATTGAGCACAACTACAGGGCAAATACATATTTCCATCGTGACATGATTTCCAATATGACATTTCAAGATTACAACAACCACAAAACTGAACCTGGTTCTTGCCTTCTTCCATTTGTATAAAAGACAGCTACAATATGTATATATATATATATAATTGTATATAAATATATCTAAATGTAAATGTCACGCTCAGTGAACAATGAAACATTGAATGTGTACAAATATAAAAATTTACAACCATTATGATGTAATTATGACACATAATCTCTCTCTTTGTTTAATGACTTCCAAAAAGCATTAATAAAAAAAAAATCAACAGTCATCAGTCCATGAGCATCAATATCAGAAACAGAAATTCCACTACTCAGATGTAATGGAACATTAAAAACTTAACTTACCTTCAACCACCGAAAGCAGGACTTCATTTAGAAGACTTTCGACCATTCTTGAGTCTAGGAATTCAAAGCTACATGACAATCAAAGAATCTGATTGGTCAGCTTAACACAACAATTCATTTTCTCATTGGTCAGCTGAACAGACAGTTTCAAACACTCTGATTGGCTAAATGCACACTCCGTTATTTGGCCAATCTATACCATCTCTTAATCTATCTTTTTAACCGTACCTGGAAAACCAGTTTTACGAGACTGACAATTATACAAGACATTGCTCTATTCCTCAACTTGTGGTTTATAGATGTGACTTATCAATAAGTAACTGTAAAAGAAAGCTTAAGGGTCAAAAATTCTTTTAAGAAAAAATATGGAGAACTCCAACTTTGGCAGTTTGTGGTTACTACCTGAGAGTAATAGGATGGGACATTTTACCAATACTAATACTATTACTAGTATGTTACTAGTATACAAGGTCGCTCGATCCTCAGTACACTTGACAAGATAAACATTAGTTACTAGCTCATGATTACAGGAAAAAGCTTAAAATTATCCCCTGATCATTTCTGTGAACATATTTTAACACTGCGTCATATGCTATTTCTTCATAGATGACCTTAAAAATAGCAATAAGTGCATAAATGAACTTTTCAATGAGAAGCATGTAACAGCACTATATAAAAACATCCCACAACACAACAGAGTAAGAACAGTTGGATGATAGCAATCAACTTCGCTGATTGCAAGTTGATTTAAACCAGAGGATACGCAAACAGAAAGAAATGCTGTCATGACTCCCTGGGTCAAAAGGTCAATCAAAAGTCAATCAACCAAGAAAGAATCCACGGGGTCGGGGTTCATTTATGGGCATTGTCTGCAGGACCTCGTCCAGGAGTTGGAGTGGCCGGTGAAGCTGTACTTCGATCCAACAAGGTGTCTCCTTTATGCTGTGTCGGGGGTAATCTGGTCCCCAGCCCTTCACAAAACTTAGACGTAATATACACAGTCTCCTCAGATCATCGACTCCAATCCCTGCTGCTGCACTCAGGCCTGTGAAAAAAAAAAAACTAGAAATATGTCCATAGGACATGAATGCCCCACCAAGGGTATATTAGTAATGCAACATTTTAACACAAATTGAGAAAAGTGAGGTCAAGGTAAAAGGAAAGGTCAAGGTCAAAAAATATTGCTGCAGTTGAATAGCTTACATCAGTATGTATCAGCATATGACGTTTGATTCAGAAACTAATTTAAGAAAAGTGAGGTCAAGATCAAAGGAAAGGTCAAGATCAAAAAATGTTGATGTAGTTGAAAAGGTTACATCAGTATGTATTAGCATATGAAGTTTGATGAAAATATTATGAATGGTTTCTTTAAAACTGAGCTAAACACTAATTTAAGAAAAGTGAGGTCAAGGTCAAAGGAAAGGTCAAGGTCAAAAAAATTGATGCAGTTGAATAGCTCTCATCAGTATGTATCAGCATATGAAGTTTGACACTTATTTAAGAAAAGTGAGGTCAAGGTCAAAGGAAAGGTCAAGGTCAAAAAATGTTGATGCAGTTGAAAAGGTTACATCAGTATGTATTAGCATATGAAGTTTGATGAAAATATTATGAATGGTTTCTTTAAAACTGAGCTAAACACTAATTTAAGAAAAGTGAGGTCAAGGTCAAAGGAAAGGTCAAGGTCAAAAAATATTGATGCAGTTGAATAGCTCTCATCAGTATGTATCAGCATATGAAGTTTGACACTAATTTAAGAAAAGTGAGGTCAAGGTCAAAGGAAAGGTCAAGGTCAAAAAATGTTGATGCAGTTGAATAGCTCTCATCAGTATGTATCAGCATATGAAGTTTGATAACACTATCTTGAATGGTATCTTTAAAACTGATCTAAAAACTTATTTAAGAAAAGTGAGGTCAAGGTCAAAGGAAAGGTCAAGGTAAAAAATATTGATGCAGTTGAATAGCTCTCATCAGTATGTATCAGCATATGAAGTTTGTTAAAAATATCTTGAATGGTTTCATTAAAACAGAGCTAAACATTAATTTAAGAAAAGTGAGGTCAAGGTCAAAATAAAGGTCAAGGTCAAAAAAATGTTGATGCAATTGAATAGCTTACATCAGTATGTATCAACATATGAAGTTTGATTACACTATCTTGAATGGTATCTTTAAAACTGAGCTAAACACTAATTTAAGAAAAGTGAGGTCAAGGTCAAAGGAAAGGTCAAGGTCAAAAAATATTGATGCAGTTGAATAGCTCTCATCAGTATGTATCAGCATATGAAGTTTGACACTAATTTAAGAAAAGTGAGGTCAAGGTCAAAGGAAAGGTCAAGGTCAAAAAATGTTGATGCAGTTGAATAGCTCTCATCAGTATGTATCAGCATATGAAGTTTGATAACACTATCTTGAATGGTATCTTTAAAATTGATCTAAAAACTTATTTAAGAAAAGTGAGGTCAAGGTCAAAGGAAAGGTCAAGGTAAAAAATATTGATGCAGTTGAATAGCTCTCATCAGTATGTATCAGCATATGAAGTTTGTTAAAAATATCTTGAATGGTTTCATTAAAACAGAGCTAAACATTAATTTAAGAAAAGTGAGGTCAAGGTCAAAATAAAGGTCAAGGTCAAAAAAATGTTGATGCAATTGAATAGCTTACATCAGTATGTATCAACATATGAAGTTTGATTACACTATCTTGAATGGTATCTTTAAAACTGAGCTAAACACTAATTTAAGAAAAGTGAGGTCAAGGTCAAAGGAAAGGTCAAGGTCAAAAAATGTTGATGCAGTTGCATAGCCCTCATCAATATCTATCAGCATATGAAGTTTGATAAAAATATCTTGGATAGTTTCTTTGAAACTGAGCTTTGAACAGAGCTAAACGCAAAGTGTGACGGAAGGACGGAAGGACAGAAGGACGGAAGACGGACATGACAAACACTATATGCCCCGGCCATATTCATGGCGGGGCATAAAAATCAATGGGTGCCTCTTATTTTTGAGGAATGAAATCAGAATGAGAACTTTTAAATGATTCATTTTGATCATTTAAATGCAATTTTCAAATCCCCTTTTCATTTTATACAATTTCTGACCATTAAAATTTTTTCCGCCATAAAAAAATAATGTGTAAGAAAAAATTTCCACATCACTAAATTGCATATATGCTAAGAATCTCACCGACAGCTGGTGCAATGCCGCCAACAGAGGCGGGTCCTGGGACATTTCCTGCCACCGCGGCGGCTTGTGCTGCGGCAGCCGCCTGAGCAGTAGCCGCCTGTTCCTGCATCTGTCTGTGACACTGACGTATGTCAAAGACCTAAGAAATAAACACAGAATTAAGAGGTAGGGTATCATGTGCCTGTGACACTGACATGTCAAAGACCTAGCAACCAAACACCGAATTAAGAGCTAGGGTAAGCTTCTAAGATGCACGGATCCATCATATAAAGCTCCTCATAACAATCCTTTTACATGTCAAGCTTCCACTTCAATGATTTCAACTACAAAATTTAGGACATAAATATATATGTTGTACTGAAAGGTTTATAAGTTTGTAAACATTATTTCTAAGTCCAGCTGGACAATTAAGAAGAGGATATTTTTTAATGTTACAATATATACAATAAGGACTATTTCTGCAAAAAGCCTCCATCTTTCTTTGTATGTGGATAGTCTGTATAATGATTTACCTTTATATAAGCACTGGGGTAGATTTTGTGGACTGCGTCCCCCGGCTGTCTCCCCGCCTCCCTGTCGAGGTAATAAGACTGGACAAACACACTGTGGTCACTGACGCACCGGATCCACACGTCCCCCTCCCCATTGTAATCCAACTGTACACCTTTACCAATGTGTAACCTGTCAAATAATGTAACAATAGCTTATACATATCAATAGTCTCCCTCCCCATTGTAATCCAGCAGTACACCTTTACCAATGTGTAACCTGTCAATGTAATAATATCTTATACATATCAATAGTCTCCCTCCCCATTGTAATCCAGCTGTACACCTTTACCAATGTGTAACCTGTCAATGTAATAATAGCTTATATATCAATAGTCCCCCTCTCCATAGTAATCCAGCTGTACACCTTTACCTACATAGGCAATTTCGCCACATATGATCCACATATGCATTGTCCTTCATATGGGGATCATATGAGGATCATATGAGATTCATATGTATATTCAATCATATGAGTATCATATGTGGCAAATCATATGTGGATCATATGAAAACACATATGTAAATCATATGAAGCAATATACATATGATACGCATATGAAAGATATTGCATATGAGAATCATATGTATACTTTGAGAATTATCATATGAGAATCATATGAAACAGATCTGTGAGTGTTCATTTATTTGTCCTTGTTATAAACAGGTAAAATTCATTTTTATTTTAATTCAATGAGATAAAAAAATACGTTTATTCAATGTTAATCAGTTAACACTTGAGTAATTTCATATTAAGCTTAATGTGAATAAGTTGGTGTTATATTTTAACAAGTAGAGTGCATGATTAAAAAATAATTTCAATAACATATATCAAGGTGTGTAAATTCCTTAAGAAGCTTGGATAAAAAGGGAATAAGTAATCTATTACGTACTCCCCCCCTCCCCCCCCCCTCAAAAAAAATCCTTTCATAAAATTCAAAATTTGTTTTCTTGAAAAACAAAATTCATCAAGAATAAATTGATTTGTATTTTATCCAAAAACCGTTATGGTTGGTTTTATTTTATGAGTAAAATTAAAATCATTCCACATTTTATTTACGGACCGGTTTCGGTTTTTATCAGATGAAAGTGTACGTCATGTTTGACGTCACTTCTGCAGCAGAAGAGTTGGGTGTTGGAAAAAGTAAGTGATCTTGGATACGTTTTGAAAGACTTTTTAAAGGCTAGTTCATTGTGTTTAGATCATTTCATTACGGTTACAGATGAGTATAAACTTTCTAGTACTCTCATCACTTGTATATAATTGTTAAATTAATGCAGTTCGTAAAAAGCCGATAAACCTAGTTATCAATAAGTAATTTTGTTTGTTAACGATGAATGTTTAGGCCATTTAGTATCACTTTTGTTTCCCTTTTGTTAATAGCTACGCGTGAATATTTATATTCGATGTGAAAGTGAAAGTAGAAACCTTGTAAAGCAGTTAACGTAAAATGTTTGTTGAGATCGTTATTTATTCGGTTCTTTCATCAAATTAATGAGAAACGTGTTTTAAATAATGTATTTAGGAACTGGAGTTCAGTGTCACAGTGCTGTTTTGTATTTTTTTTTTTGTTGTTCAAAGAACCAAAGCTGATTAGACTGACGATTGAATACAAAGCTGATTTGACTGACGATTTAGACCCAAAGCTGGTTTGGCAGACGATGCATGATCACAATGCAGGTAAAATAAATAAATAAATACAATAATCATCACAGTATATATAAGTAATGACTTAAACATATATCAAAAACTAAATTAATCCAACTCTTTTTCTATAGAAAAAAATCCAGGACACTAATAAATATATATAAGTATGAAAACATATGAAAATATGTAAGGCATATATTATAGAACTTGCTGGCTATAAAAACTATGAAGAACTATAAAACTATACATTATCTTCTGGGGGATAATGACTTTTAGCTTAACCAGACATTCAAGGTACTATTACATGTGTATTGAAAGTACATTATCTAATTTCATTTGATTATTTACATGTATATAAATTGACATTTATAGATTTTTTTTTTCAACACTAGAGAATTTAACCTAAAGACTTGTACTCACTCTCTTTTGTAGTTTCTTTTAACTTTTAGTTGGATTAGAATATTTATACTGTGTGAATATTTGTTCTATAATTTATATAGGTTCAATATACAGTCAGCCTCTCTCATTAATAAAATGGAAGAACAGACACCAATATCCTAGGCTTGCTTCAAAAAAGGGTAAGTACACCCTGTATAATAAACTTTGTTATATTTTTCCCAACAAAGTTTTAGGATATAATGGATTCACAATGTCTGTTTCTCTGCCTGTTTGTTTGCATGTCTGTAGATTTTTTGGTCCAAAAATTGTACATTTGTATCCGAATCTATTTAATTTTTTGCAATCTTAATTAATATATACTATTTGAACATTCCAAATTCAATTGTCAAAATTTTTGAAAAAAAGTTATTACTTTTAAAATTTTATGATTTTATTATGAAGCATGTCTTCCAAAAGCGAAATAAATGTCTTGGAAATAATATAGGGTATCAACAACTGTTTTAAAACATTACCTGGTAGTTTTATCATATAAATGTATACATTTTCATGTACTTTGGTTAATGATTTGGGGGTCTGCATCAAGCAGAAATGGATTATATATATTATATCAATTATTTTTTTTATATAAATTAAAAATTTGCAGAGAGAATGTCAATTGGCTTAAAGAAAGATTTAGCATCAACCCCTGGATTTCTTTTAAGGGTACAGAAGTACAGGTATGATGAATATAAATGCTAGCTAACTATTTTGCAAGAATTGAGCATTTAAGTAGATGCACTGAGCATTTAAGTAGATGCACTGAGCATGTATGTCATATTATATGAAACTAATAAAGTTTATAGTCAATATGTATAAAAGTGAACCATTTTTTCTTGAAGAATCTTAGTATGTGTTTGATGTATAGAAAAATAAGTGAAAAATGCATTGCTTTATTCATTCAGGAGATGCTCAGCAATCTGGCAAAGAAGGCTGGCTGGACATGAAATGTTATGGGGGTTATGTCTAGCTTTGGATCCACTGAATTCACATATTACAGAAATCACATCAGAGCAAAGGTGTGCACACATTTTATTTATATATGTTACATATCATCCTAAGAAGTATTAAAGTCTATTGCTAAATTGAATTACCTCGTCAAAACAAAAGTTTGCACTGCATTCCATTTAAGCTATACATTGTGAATTGAATTGTTCAGAAAAAAATGTTTTAGCTGATGGGTAACAAAGAAGTTGATGTAGAGGGTCCCTCCATTAAGTCTCTACTGTGATGATTATCGATGAAAATGTTTCCTTCCTTCTACAATTATGCTAACAAATCCAGAGAGGGAATACTTCACACTGATGCTAGTATGATGCTAGTATGAAAACAGTAAGAGTCAACATTTTAAATTGTAAAAATATTGATGTTAAACTTTAATGTTAAAATTTTGAGATACACTGTATATATTTGTTTATTGGAAGGACATCTTTGCTAGTAAATATGATCAATGATAGAAAATTAGTTCATGTTTGTTGGATGTCACAAACAATTGTTCCAATCATATTCATCTTTAAAATTACTTGAGCCTTCAGCTCAGATGAGCTAAAAACAAGTACTTTCATTTTAAATGAAAGTACTTGTTTTTAGCTCATCTGAGCCGAAGGCTCACGTGAAGTTTTCTGATCAAAATTGTCTATTGTCCATCATCATCGTTGTTGGCATAAACTTTTCACATTTATGTCTTCTTCTCCAGAACCACTGGACTAATTTCAACTGAACTTGGCAAAGAGGACCAATAGTAAGGTACCAGTAGGGGTTCAAAGTTCAACCTAAAGATTATATAGGGTAAAGTCTTTAAAAATCTGCTTTTCAAGAACTACCACACTACAATTTGTGATATTATTTTGCAAACATCCCTATGCAGTGTTGTTTCAAGCTTGTTGAAACAATGACCATTAAATCACCGGTGGGGCCCCTGAAGCTTGCAAAGTTTTACATAGTAATTTATACTTGTGTATAGGAAAAAATTAAGTCTTTTTAACAAATTCTACATTGCTACAATAGTGGGGCCTAAAGAGGGAATCTTGAGTAAATTTGTTCAGTATGGAACAAATATCAAAAAAATACTTTTGCAATTTATTCCAGCACTTTTTAGCTCACCTGAGCTATGCTCAAGTGAGCTTTTCTGATCACCCGTTGTCCGTCGTCCGTCTGTCTGTCTAGCTGTCCGTCCGTCCATGTGTAAACTTTTCACATTTTCAACTTCTTCTCAAGAACCACCGGGCCAATTTTAACCAAACTTGGTACAAAGTATCCTTGGGGGAAGGGGAGTTTAAATTGTGAAAATAAAGGTCCAAGTCCCCTTACAAGGGGAGATAATCAAGAAAAGACAAAAATAGGTGGGGTCATAAAAAAATCTTCTTCTCAAGAACCACTGGGCCAGAAAAGCTGAAACTTATGTGGAAACATCCTGGGATAGTGTAGATTCTAAATTGTTCAAATCATGACCCCCGGGGGTAGGGCAGGGCCACAATAGGGAATACAAGTTTTACATTAAAATATATAGGAAAAATCTTTAAAAATCTTCTTCTCAAGAACCACTGAGCCAGAAAAGCTGAAACTTATGTGGAATCATCCTGGGGTAGTGTAGATTCTAAATTGTTCAAATCATTACCCCCAGGGGTAGGGCGGGGCCACAATAGGAAATACAAGTTTTACATTGAAATATATAGGAAAAATTTTTAAAAATCTTCTTCTCAAGAACCAATGAGCCAGAAAAGCTGAAACTTATGTGGAAGCATCTTGGGGTAGTGTAGATTCTAAATTGTTCAAATCATGACCCCATGGGGTAGGGCGGGGCCACAATAGAGAATACAAGTTTAACATTGAAATATATAGGAAAAATCTTTAAAAATCTTCTTCTCAAGAACCACTGGGTCAGAAAAGCTGAAACTTATGTGGAAGCATCCTGGGGTAGTGTAGATTCTAAATTGTTCAAATCATGGCCCCTGGGGGTAGGGCGGGGCCACAATAGGTATTACAAGGGAGAAGTCTGGTAATGAACAGCATGGCCAAAGTTACTCAGGTGAGCAATGTGGCCCATGGGCCTCTTGTTTTGTATTGACACACATTTCACAAAAGCCACATGTGTCAGAGTTAAGTGAGTTTGCCATTGTTGCTCAGGTGAACAATGTGGTCCATGGACCTGTTGTTATTATTATTAATGCTAATTATTTTAAAAAAATTTTTAGAGATTATTCTGTGCCACAAACAAATTGTTCAGAAAGGGGACATTGGTGGATTTGCATTTTGGGTACAATTCAAAGAATTTTCAATATGATGATGGAAGATCAGCGGGAGGACAAATGGGAAAAGTTGACAGAGAAAGAAGAGAAAAGAATTAGGAAATATCTGGAATAAATATGAATGAGGAGGATGTACTTAATCTTGTCAGACTTTGACATGCAAGGCTTTCTATATTTATATGTATACTGGAATATCATTTTGATTGTAAAATCTCATTGTAATGTATTCACATTTTATATTTTATGCTTTATGCATAAATACATAAACATTTTCATGAAAAACTATATATATGTATATATGTATCTTTGTTCGATCGAGACACCATCCTTTGTGATTTCATACTCATTTATGTGTTAAATATGCTGTAGGTACATGTAATCTGAATTATTTATGATTTGACATAAATTTACAATAGAGATTACATATATTGACAAATGTTATTGCAGATATTTCAATTTTGCTAAGGACACTTCCATGCCATATGATATTTTTATACAAGTTCATGATCTAATTATGTTATTTATTGGTACATGTATACATGTTCATTTCCTTGATCATTTTGCTGAAATCCTTTCAAATAATTTGTACTCGTTTTAGAATATGTAAAATACATGTATCGACAAATGCTACTGACTTGTTTGTATACTTCCTTGTTTAAAGTGTGCACTGTGTGGTATTAGTTATTTCTGTTGATGAAGATACTTTTGGAAAATTATGCAAGCATTATCAAATATCTACAGGTATTTAACAGATCATTGGAATGTACTGAAATTTCATCTAAAGCAGAAATACCTTATTTTTAATGTGTACAAGTGTGTATTTCCTTTTGATAAATATGAAAAAAAAAACCACATAAATGTTTCATATGATATACATATGATGCCCATTTCATATGATTCTCATATGTAAATGACTTGAAACACACTAAAACTTTTCATGTGCAAATCATATGATGTTCTTTGCATATGATTCACATATGTGAATCATATGTGACTCATATGATTTGCTTCATATGATTCACATATGATGCCCTTTTTTATGATTCTCATATGAAACCAATCATATGATTCACATATGATACACATATGTGGATCATATGTGGCAAAGTTGCCTGTGGTACGTGTAACCTGTCAAATAATACACAAACTTACAGCTTATACATACTTAAACAGAGACCAATGTGTAACTGAAAACAGTACACAAACTTAAACATGCTTAAACAAAGACCAATGGATAAATAGTCAAACAGTACACAAATTTATACTTTTTTCATACTTATCCATTGACCTATGTGTAACCTGCTAAACAGTGTAAATATTTACAGCATATTAATACTAGTACACTCTACAGATTCAAAGCATGCGTATACATGTACTTATACATATAACCTTTACCAATGTATAACCTGCCAAACATTTACACAAATTTATAGCAAATACAAACTTATACTGAAAACTTTCCAGATTTTAGCAACACTAATTTTCAGTATATTAAGGCTTTTTGATGTTTACAAACTGAACTGGCAAAGGTTTATAATTTTTGTGCAAGAATTCAAGCTCCACTAGCAGCCCATGGGCCACAATACTCACCTGTGTACTCTGGCCCTGCTGTTCTTCACCAGATTTTCCCCCTTGTAATATGTACTGTGGTCCTACCCTACCCTTGTGGATCATGATTTGAGGCAATTTAGAATCCACATATCCCAGGATGCTTCCACATAAGTTTCAGCTTTTCTGGCCAAGTGCTTCTTGAGAAGAAGATTTTTAAAGATGTTATCATTATATTTCAATGTAAAACTTCGATTCCCCATTGTGGCCCCATCCTACCCTCGGGGGTCATAATTTGAACAATTTAGAATCTACACTACCAAAGGATGCTTTCATATAAGTTTCGGCTTTTCTGGCCCAATGCTTCTTGAGAAGAAGATTTTTAAAGATTTTTCCTTTATATTTCAATGTAAAAACGTTGATTCCCTACTGTGGCCCCACCCTACCCCTAGGGGTCATGATTTGAACAATTTAGACTCTACAATACCCCTGGATGCTTTCATATAAGTTTCAGTTTTTCTGACCCAGTGTTTCTTAAGAAGAAGATTTTTAAAGATTTTCCTATATATTTCAATGTAAAACTTTGATTACCCATTGTGACCCCACCCTATCTCCAGGGGTCATCATTTGAACAATTTAGAATCTGTACTACCCCAAGATGCTTCCACATAAGTTTCAGCTTTTCTGGCTTTTTTTAATGACCCCAGACCTGTTTACCCAAACTGTTGTCTCTCAGTATTTTTCATTAGATCTGTCAGTGAGATTTGGCATTTGCCCGTAAGATTTCACTTTTCATCGACTGTACATATATTACTAGAAAACAACTACATTTCTGATTATCAAAACATGGTTTAATAACAAAGCAAAACGTCATACACTGCTCTCTTTTGAGTGATTTCTGTCATTTTTCAAACCACCGCGTTTTGGCAACTTAAATGTTTGAAAATTTTCTCTTCTTTAGCGATTAAAAAGCGTCAAACTGAGACAGATAACGAAAACTAATTGTTAAAATCCATATGAACGGATTTCCATATTTTCGTTATAGCAAAGCGTAAGACGTATTTTGGACTGAAAATCCGTACAAAATACGGCGAAATCGTAAGAGTAAACAGGTCTGTGACCCCACCCTATTTTTGTCTTTTCTTGATTATCTCCCCTTGAAAGGGGGCTTAACCCTTCATTTCAATAATTTACATTTTCCTTCACCTGAGGATGCTTTGTACCAACTTTAGTTAAAATTGGCTTAGTAGTTCTTCAGAAGAATTTGAAAATGTGAAAAGTTTACAGACGGACGAAGAGACGGACGGATGGGTGATGGACAACAGGTGATCAGAAAAGCTCATGTGAGCTAAAAATGGTGTAAAAGTACTGTAGATTTCAACTTATTCATATTTCAGACCTAAGGGCAGATCATTCTTGCTGAACAAAGTACCACCGAATTAGAACTTGTTAGTGTGCAGTGCCTTGATGGTCATTGAAGTGCTTCAGTGTTTCTCAAGGACAGAAATATGAAGTGCATACAATTGACAGAACCAGGACACTTTTCAATCAGAAATTCTCTGATCTACCTTTGGCTGAGGTGAGCTAAATATTAAATAAGTGATAGGAGTGTGGAGATTATGAGTAAATATTTGTCATACAAATTTCACTTCAATTTAGCACCTATTTAAATTACAGTATTTCGTAATAAACTATATCTAGTGTCATTAAGTTCTATGCTGACTGATCTTTAAGTGACTGCACCTAGTGATTCCCCATAAGTACCTGGCTTTGTCACTAGTTTCTGTGCGGTGGACATTAGACAGCTGACCAAGACAGAACCGGTCAAGACTGGACGGGTCAGTGTAGCCATCCACGGTCACTCGAGCATAACTGTATGGGACCTTGAATGTCTCGCCAACCTGCTGGTCAAGTTCAAAGTATGTAATGGTACACCAAAACTCTGGGGCTGTAGAAAGAGAAAGGATTAACAAATTTAAAGTTTATACTGATCACAACATTTCCAATGTATTTCTAATGTAGAAGTCTATGTGTGACATTGCTAGCCTACAATATCAGATTTTTTTAACCCTTAAAAATCCAGGAGCCAGAGCCATCCACACTGGAAAAATAAAATTCTGTACGATTGGTTGAAATTGGTGGAAAATGTTTCCAAAAAAATACTGGTCAGTGATTTTAATTTTTACATTATCTTTGGACATATGACTATCAATTTGGTCAAGCATACCTCACTTAAACCAGCTGAGGTCAAATAATGTGTGAGGAGGCAAAGAAAAATAGTGTTTGTGAAACACTGGTGCCCCCATATGACAGGTCAATGTCAAGGTTAATATTTCTGAATACAAGTCAAACTCCAAGGTCAAGAGGTCGAAATGTTGGTACCCAAAGGCAGGTCACACTAAACATGTGAAATATGAAACCAGTTTTTGGAATGAATCCAAATTATGGTCCCCTACAGATTTCAATTCGCCATGTGGGCGAACAAGTTATGGAACATGCCCACACCAAACTTTACTTGCATTTAGCACATTGCTAAGTGTCACATTTAAACCCTGTTTGTAAAGATTTTACTTTGTTTAGACTTGATCATTTCTGGATCTGTTTAACTGACATCTCACTGTAAGAATTCTACACGTTTTCTTCTTGTCCATGAGTCGATCTACATTCTCACAATTACAGATGACTTACATTTATTACTTATTGGAATTAATGCAATTAACATAATAAAACTCCACAAATTGTCTTACATATTGAATTATCAAACAAAAGAGGATATGTGATGTAACCACTTTAATAAAGTAAAATAACCTGTATGATTACAGTGTATATTTCAGTGTATGATGACGTAGTTTATGCTTCATGGTTAGTGTATGTACTCACGGTTTTGGTTGGTAAGGGGAGGTAATGACTGCACGTCCGATGACTGCATGTGATTGTTGTTCCCTGAAATAATAATTATATTGTTACATTGTCAGCTCTAATGTAATTCAATGGTAATATCAATATTTTAATCACCAGTCAAGTCTTTTTTTCTGTACAAGTCACTTCTGCTGAATGCAATTAATCTGTCTCTAGTAAATATAAGATGTTAAGTCAATATTTAAAACAAAAGTTGAACAACAACACATATTGCTTTTGTAGTGACCTTGACTCTTGACCTAGAGAACTTAGACAAACTTTGATGTAAAGCACTGGGAAGAATATATATGACCTTTAAACTGCAGAATTGTGACAAATTTGACTTTGATATAAAGCACTGTGAAGAAAATAAATGACCTTTGACCAACAGAATTATGAAGAATTTGACCTTTAACCAACAGAATTGGGAAGAATTTGACCTTTGACCTACAGAATTGAGGATCCTGGGAGGAGGTATATGTAGCTGTGTTATTTCCCACCCATGTTGCTGTAGCAGCCATAGAACCTGAAAACAAAAAAAAAAAAACATTTTTCAAGAAAAAGAAATATTCAAGGAGTGTTTATACTATCTAAGATTTTACAACCTATATTTCTGGGGTTACAAAATTTTTGATTTAAATAATGCCAAGTCCTTAGACTTTCAGCGATTCTAAACACTTGAGTCCTAATCCAAATTACTGAAGTTCTGAACATCAGGCTTGTGAAATTTTGAACCCCTGCCTTATAATGGCCCCCTTTTATAGACAATCAAGAGTCATCATCTGCCTGTGTATCAACAGATTTGATTGATTGGATGAAAATGTACTGAATTTGTGTTAAAGTACTGATTAACGTTATTTACTTACTGCGTGGGGGAAATGCGCTGATGTTGGATAACGTCGGTGATTGTGACACGTGAGAAGATACCTGTCCTCCGAATCCATCCCCCATCGGCGACGGCAGACCGTGAGACATGGCACTGGCAGCTGCTGACGATATAAAGCAAACATATCAACAATGCATCTCTCTGTATGGTACAGACTCAAACAGCAGGGATCAACAATGTAATAGTCTCTGACAATTCATATGCAGCAAACATCTCAAAAGTGCTACTCTCGCAGTTATAGCATTAAGTGGACATTAGATATCAGCAATGCTCTCCTTCCCAACTACTGACAAGACATCAGATATCAACTACGTACTGTTACTCACAAGGTAAAGTTAGTCTCAGACATAGTACTGCCTAGACATCAGATATCAACAAGATAAAGTTACTCTCAGATAGATAACGTCTAGACGTCAGATATAAACAAGGTAAAGTTACTTTCAGATAGATAAAATGTCTAGACATCAAATATCAACAAAGTAAAGTAACTCTCAGATGGATAATGTCAAGACATCAGATATAAATGTCTAGACATCAAATATCAACAAAGTAAAGTTATTCTCACACAGATAATGTATAGATTTAAGATATCAACAAGGTAATGTTACTCTCAGATAGACATAGTGCTGCCAAGGTATCAGATTTCAACAAGGTAATGCTACTCTCAAATACAGCTATAGTACTGCCTAGATATCAGATATCTACAATGAAATGTTACTGACACAGCCATGATACTAGGCATTAGATATCAACATTTAAATCTTACTCTCTTGATATGTACCGATATCTAAATACTATCAAATAAATTGTTTGAGTTGCTTACTGATCCCTTTTTTTCATTCATATTGATCTGAAAATAAGTTTACATTTGTACAGTCACTGTGAAAACACAAATTTTTGTGAGGGTTTAATTTTCCTTGTCTTTGTGAAGAGACCCAAGAATTCAAATCTTCCATGAAATGTAGAATTTCAAATATATCTTATAACTCAGCACTCTTTCATCCACAAAATCAAGTCTCCTCGAACCAAAAACTTTTCCCTCAAACCACAAAAATTAGACCCCACGAAAATATGTGATTTTACAAGTATACCGATTGCAGCTAAATTATTGTGAGCATCTTCATTTTTTCTAGCTTCCTTCTACAAGGCTATTAATTCCTTTATAGCAAGATAATAAATGTGTTAGAAACCACAAGCAAAAATAAATAGCACTGTTCAATAGTTTATAAAGATTAAGAATTAGTACATAAAATGTATATAACTATATGGCTCTCTACCTTTCCTGTCATATAAACCTTGATCAATTCTGAAGTATTTAATTATTCACCACATCTAACTGGACAAAGAATCCTTGATAATGTTTATATACATTTCTTAGGTTTAAATATAATTGTTATTGACATTAAAAGCTGTCATAGTTATTTAAATTAACTTACATCTTTTTTATAATAGCACCTGCCAGAAATTAAATGTTGACATTTCATGTCAGTTTTACGTAGGTCTACCTGTTAATATCTGTAATTTATTTGTACTCATAATCTAATACACATGTTGTATGACCTACATCACAAGAAATCCAATCTCATTGGCTTCAAATGTTCCTACTAAGAAGTAACTATTCAAAATAAAATAATTCAATGATAAATGTCAGTCAGTGTTTTTTTTCAGTACTTTGGGACTGGGGGCTGGGGCCTTCGGAATTGGGAATTTCAGCATCAATTAGGCTAAATTGGGAATCTCCCAGAAATTCTTGGTATGAATTATCTAATTACTTGCATCAAGAACAATAGTGGTATGAATGATCTAATTACGAAGAAATCCAACGTGGCTGAACAACAAAACCTGCTTGAACTTCACAGAAAAACATGCAATAAACAACTGAATTTGATCACATATTTTGCAAGTTTTTCTTTGAGAAAACTTCCACTATATTTTGGGAAAATACAGGCATATTTTCAATTGGGACTGGGCCCAAATTTCGGCCCCAAATCGGCCCCTTAAAAAATCACTGATAAAGTTGATGTCTTTAGGTTTGAATCTTGTTTTAGCGTCTTTGGCCATGGCCTTTAATTGCTAGGATGTTCATATTACTTTCATATTTTACACGCAAGTTGCTCATGACCAGAGAATGAGAAAAACCACCACTTTTATTTCAGTCCCAAAGTACTGAAAAAAAAACACTGTTTATCCAAGCATTGACATCATCTCAGGACACAAGCGTATGATTAATCACTTCATACTTCTCTGCTTCAGATATTTCAGAGACAACAAATTTCATTTTTCTGAACTTGAGACCTTGATCTGATGCTATTGGTTCAAGGTCAAACAAAGACACTCAAAATTACCTTTGAAAAAAAGTATTTTTCTGTTTTTAAGTGATGGACAGGACAATGCTACTGTAGATCAGTAAATTTTCGTGACACCTTACTTTCATGAGATAGTTATTGACTCTTTAAAGGAGAGACAAAATTTTCACAAATTGTGGTTTTTGCTCTTAATAATCTTAAGGAATACTAATAAACGTGAGAATGAAATTTTTGCGAGCATTGTCTTGCGTAATTGCACGAAAATAAAGTTCTCGTGAATAAAAAGTTATTTAAAGTATACTTTTCAGCTTAGGTATCTAGAACTTTGCTATCAAGAAAATTATGGATATGTTGAAGTGAGATTGAAGTACCATGCAACCACTAGGTATTTTAACCTCAAATCCTTGGATATTTTGAACTTCAGAATATTTCAATGACCTTGCTACAACTCCACCTCTGGTAACAATCAACCTTTGCACAAGAGGAAGATTAAAGTTTGACAATACAATCTGGAAATACAAGGTGAAAATAATTTTGAACATAACACATGTACAAAATCTTAAGATAAAAATAACATAAAATAGATATAGATTTTAAAAAATCATCCATCCAGTGAAGCCCAGATACACAGATGATTCAGGCCCGGGTATAATTAACAGTGATTAATTACCATCTACAGACTTAATTCAGGTTAGTCACATTAAAGCTTTTGTTTTTTAATATCAACACTATATCATCAACAAATCATATATATGGAGATCACCAATCCATTTAATGGCATTTATATGTATGTAAATCATTCATTCCTTAATCATTTTTTTTTTCAAAGATTCATTTGCATATATCAGACCTGTTTACCCAAGTTGTTGTCTCTCAATGTTTTTTATTAGATTTGTCAGTGAGATTTGGCATTTGCCCGTAAGATTTCACTTTTCATCGACTGTACATATATTACTAGAAAACAACTACATTTCTGATTACCAAATCATGGTTTACTAACAAAGCGAAACATCATACCCTGCTTTCTTTCGAGTGATTTCTGTCATTTTTTTTAAACCACTGCGTTTTGGAACTTAAATGTTTGAAATTTTTCTCTTTTTTAGCGATTTAAAAGCGTCAAACTGAGACAGATAACAAGAACTAATTGCTAAAATCCATATGAACGGATTTCTGCATTTTCATTACAGCAAAACGTGAGACGTATTTTGGACTGAAAATCCGTACAAAATATGGTGAAATCGTAAGAGTAAACAGGTCTAATATATGTTAATCATGTATTCATACAGAAAATCCGTACAAAATATGGTGAAATCGTAAGAGTAAACAGGTCTGATATATGTTAATCACGTATTCATACATATGCAGACAATGAAAGGAGGGACAGGATAAGAACTACTCAGAATGTCTCATTGATTTGAAGAAGATGAGGAAGACTCCTAGAAAACTTTCAGGGAATACTCCACAAAATGTTTCTAATCATGACCTGCTATACATACAAAGCAAAGCATGCGGAAGACACTGATGTACAGTCAAGCATTAGATGTGTATAAGCTAAGACAGAAATTAGGCGTGCTTGTTGTGTCCAGAGAAGATGTGTGCCATGTCTATAGCCTACAATAATATACATGTATGTATTATTAACATCTGGGACTTAGTGTTACACTAAATGCATGAGGGATTTCTCTGAATGGGACTCTTGTTCTTCTGTATTGTATTTACTTAATAAGCAGGCAAAGAAAATCCCACAAAGGTTAATATATAAGAAACAACTGATGGTTATTTTTAAGTGTCTTGTAATAAGTAAGGTATTCTGTGCCTATTTACAAGTTTTGTATCCAGTATTAAAACAGTAAGGTATTCTTACATTATTTCACACATGGGCAATTAATTCTAAAACTTTCTCTTTCATTCAATCTAAGATCTGTACATATTTGAAACTTTGCATTCTTCAAGGCTCAACATTTAAACATTTACTTTCCCATCAGACAAGTTGACAACATGCTACAAGTCCGAATTAGTTAATTTCTTGTCTGACATAGAACAGATATAAAAAAAATATATTTTCAAGAATGAACTTGTTGCAATATTGACTTATAAAGCTTTAAATTGTTAAAATCATGAAAACACAACATTACTGATTAAGATACAGAAGCACTGTTTGTGACCTAGCAATCATGAAGTATCAAACACATTCATCAAGTAACAATTATATCTGGTGATGTATGACCTGAACTGTTGAAATTGTAAAGTTTCATACTTGATGTCTGCAATTAAAAAAATCAATCTCTTAGATGAATTCTGTGGATTTTCTATACATGTATTATATTCACAATATTCCATAAAGGAACAAAAATAACTTGTATAATTTGAGTATCTGGAGATTGACTTGTCTGATAAAAAACTGATTTAGAATGTTGAGCCCTTTCCCTTTTTCAAAGATAGAATGTATTTTTCAAAACTTCTCATAATTACATTTGGTCTATTTTTAATCTTCTTCAGGATATTACCCAAAAGGGAAAAGAATAGCTGGAAAGTTATATAAACTTTTTACCGAACAAATTTACTGCAAGGCTATTAATGTATAAAACTGAAATTTTAAATATTGACAGGTATTTTTGGAATGAATTATGACATTCTATTTTTTTTTTTAATTTCTGGAAAGGAAGGTGAAAAAAAGCAGCAAATCACCCTTCTCTGAACACACAGTTTCATTAAAGTCAAGCAGCAGGGGTATAGCTGTGCTTATTAGAAAATTTGCAGCACAAAAACTCTTGCCAGACATACAGATGTCAATATACATTAAAACATCTACTGCACCAAGATTACATAACAAGCAGTTCTACATCAAACTAAAAATAGAACCTGAATGTGCCTGTGGCGATAAAGGATTTGCCTGGGGGGACATTGGATTATGTAGGGGGGTGTTGGGGGCACTCGGGCCCCGCCCCAGGGGGCTTGATATAGCTGGTCCTGCTGTGTGCGGGTGCTGAGGTACAGTTGACTGAGGGCCAGATGACCCCTGACCTGTGTTTAAATCAACCAATCACAGCATTATAAACCAATAAAAATAAAACTAGGATGTTGGCTGTCCTAAAAATAAATATCCAGCACAATCAAGGCTATTCAAAATAATAATACAGTTCAAAATTAAATATGTAAAAAAAAAAATTGAGCCACAGAATTTGCGACACACATCACTATATTTAACAGCTGAGGCAATTTCTGATATATCAGCCCACAATTAAATGTGATACAATAAGCAAAATTAATGTGCTTGATCAAATTGAAAATAAAAAAAATTACAATTATTTTGACAGTGAGAAACAATTCATTTAATTCATGCAGATTCTCCCCTAAAAAATTGTGATTTTTTAATTCCAATTTAAATTCACAAAGAAAAGATGCTTAATATTTAAAATGGAATAAAATAATTTTCAAATAAAGTGTATTTTTTCAAATTTCATTATCCTAATAAAATTGCTATAATATTTTGAAATAAACTGATTAAAATTTATCTATAATAAGAAGCTTTAGTTTATTTTAAAAAATCTTCATTTTGGAGATTATGTATAAAATGTTTCTATAGAAGTTAAAGATGAAAGATAAGTATCCAAACACATTTCAAAAAAATATATATATAAATATAAAATTATAAGGCATTAAAAATGCTCCTGCAGCCCTTAAGAAAATCAAATTTACCCCCCCCCCCTCCCTTCCCTCTGTAGCCAACAATCAAAACAACACAGACACCGACCCATGCCTCCCGAGGTAAGGATCCGAGCAAACTCGCTCTGTGGAGGATGCTGAACTGTTTGCGAGACTTCCTCCGAACTCGACATGTTCATCCCGATCTCATTCCCGTACTCGTCCTTAACGAGGCGAGAAGGCGGGGCTGAAATATCAGAAACTACGTCAGATTTGTCAAATCCATTCCAGTGATTTTTCTACACCCAATTAAAGGTCGGAATTGGCCTTTTCCCCTCTCAAAAATTTTCAGTATGTTCAATTTTTCAATTTAGAGAGTTCTGTATTTCTTCTCCACCAAAAGTTTGCAAAGCTAGAGTATTGTTTTCTCATTAAATAGAAATTTCACTTACAATTAAACAGAAAGCTTAGAATCTCAGTCATCCATATGCTTAAATTAATTGATAGTGAAATCAGGTCCATGCTTTAAGTGCATCTTCAAGACGTACACAAATGCATGGTAACTTTAACATTTGAAAAGTTACCGATGATTTTTTCCAAACTGATAGATTTTTCTCCTTTTCAATAGAGTAGATAAATCACTGTCATTCACACAATTTCAAATCCTGTCTTTTCTAAAAACCTTTATTTTCTACATCAATTAACTGCCTTATTGTCATGTACCAAGAAAAAGTTTTCAGACACCCTAATATTAATCAACTTTTAATTCCCCTGTGAATTCCCAAATAATTCATTTCTGAATGTAATGAATTCTGAGGAAGGTAGTTTGTTTCAGAATTCAGCTATAACATTTTTCAAATAACAAGTATTCAAGTATTAAGCCAAGCTTAAAAAATTCTCTGTTTGCAGTTGCCGACCTATATTTTTTAGAGTGGGTATATAGGTAGGTATGTTTTTTTAAATAGATTTAATATTCAAGTTTTTTTTTATAATAGATCATATGGATTTTCAAAGGGTTGATACTAAACGTAATATGCTCCACTTATTTGAAGCCACTAAATTGATAAAAACAAAAATCAAAAAATAGAAAATGAAACGGTTCAATATCCTGAAAATTTGAAACTTACCCCCACCCCCCAATCATCTCAAAAAATGGCTGAAAAAAAGTTTGGGTCTGGTGCATTTTTATTGGATCAGTAGGCAACTGCAAACAATCAATTTTTTTTTGTTTTAGGCCTTATGAATTCTAAACACATCACTTCTGAGGAATCTCATACTTCTGCAGAAAGGGAACTAGTCAAAATTCCCATATTAAAAATATCAAATATTCCAAATACAAGAATGACCTGCATCCATGTGGGACAAGATTACTTGCTTTTTATAACTGCCTTTATTTGCATTCATTCAAAATTACCTGCATGTTGAATATTCAGCCCAGACAAATCTGAAAAAAAATAATGAACATTTCATCAAAGTTTGCTACAAATAATTAGAAAAAGAGGCCCAAGAGCCAATTTTATTCAACTGACCTATCAATTGCATAATTATTTGCTCATTACAAGTTTGTACTCTGCTTACCTCCAAGATGCCCAGGATTTTCAAAACATTAATGCATTATTAACTATATACAATAGAAGCACTAATTTTCATGGGAATAAAATTTTGTTGCTTTGTGACCTTAAATGGTTTTGTTGGAATTAAATTTGGTTGTTTCAAAAGTAACTTCATTCAATATATAGCCATATAAAAACTTTGTTTCTCAGGCCATTTTTAGTCAGTCGGTTGGGAGAGGGCGAGCGAACATTTTTTTTTTTTAAAGATGCCCTTATTCTGTTTAAAGATAGAGCAAAAACAAACTCTGTCTGGCTCAATCAGTGCTAGTGGTTGTTTCAAACATGAGAGAGAGAAAAGAAAGAAAACAAGAGAAAAATCAAGAAAGAAAACAAGAGAAAGAGGTACATACCGATTCCAGGGGAGACTACTCTCTCATAATGGTACGGATTAACACACACACTGTCCTGCTTGAGGTCAAAAGCATAGTGACAGAATTTGCAGTGCTTTAGTTCATTCTTGTGAAGGTCCGGCCATCGCCAAATCCGCGCATAAATAACATGAGGAAATCCCTTACGACCAGCAACCTGAGAGGAATAATAAAGTTAAAGTATGATTTTTAAGGTATGTTTAATCACTCACTGTAAAACTATAAATTCACATGATATAAAATTCATCTTTGCTATGCTTGAATTATCATTCCCTGTTGAGTCAAATTTTATGCGAGTTCAGTTTTCTTACATTTAGTGGTATGAATCAAGATATTCATAAATAATGCATGGCGATACAATTCTTATTTTATTCTACATTTCTGTCTTGGTATACTTACGGTAATCAAAATACCTGCAGTCGCCCCTCCAATTTGGGCGTATAGTGACACATTTTGTTAAGTGGGGTGCCACTGGTTGTAATCAGGTCTTAATTAAAAATGCCTGCAATATTCGGTCCATTATACACTGTATGGTGACACATTTTGTATAGTGGGCCCAATGGTCTTGATAATACCTGTGGACTGTTGCCAAGTGTACCCTGTATAGTGACACACTTTGTGGACAGGACCCCCCATCAGTTGTAATTGCGGTGATGATTTAATTATAAATACCTGTAGCTTCCTGTCTAGTGTACACTGTATAGTGACACATATTTGGAGTGCCCCCCTCCCCCTCCAGTTATTGTGGTGATGACATAATTTTCAATACCTCTAGCCTCCTATCTAGTGTACACTGTATGGTGACACACTTTGTTGAGTGGACCCCACAGTTGTTATTGCTGTGCTGACTTAATTATAAATACCTGTAGCCTTCCGTCCAACGTACGCTGTATAGTGACGCACTTTGTGGAATGAGCGCCGCTAGTTGTTATGGCAGTGATGAGACTGTCTAGTTCGTCCCGCTTCTCTTTCAGCTTCTTGACCAGACTTTCGATGGCACGTTTTGCGAAGCTCTCACTCTCGCCGCCCTGGCGGTGACACATCAGACTGTGTACGATACTTAGACATGCGTCATTTGAAGTTGGCGCCTGCGTCATGATTTGACTGGTTTCTGGTTCCTCCTCTGAAAATCCTCAGTGACTCTCTGTTTATCTGGTTCTTACTTTCAATGCTTTACATTTTTGGTGCAGATTGATGTACAAAATACCTATAAAATAAAATTATTTTACTTTATTAATTAATAGCATCTCACAAAATATGGAGCTTTTATTTCACTTTTTGGCCATTTCCTTCAAAAAAAAATCCAAAATTTTTTTTTTTTTAAATTTTCCCCTTTGATCAAAATTTCCATTTTTCACATTGTAATCATGGTAATCTTAATATATATACACACATAACCATTATTTACAGAATTAAGGTTATTTCCACTAAGTTGTAATATAAGTGTCAGTCTACATTAATTAATTTTCAAGCATTCTGATCCATACACATTATTATAAATAAATTAAAACAAACAGGTCTACCACAAAGTCTTACTTCTTGTATTCAAAAGCCAGACTTCTGAAATGGTGCTAGACGTTAGTCTACAAGACAAACAGTTTTTGCAAGCTGTTGATTTCTGAGTTTATATATAAGCTTTATAAATAACAATTTAAAAGATGGAAACAGAACACTAACACTTCGTGAGAATGCACAGGTAGATGCCAGGTAGTATAATTAACAGACAACTGTCTATCCTTCTCCTTATAAAATACCTTACACCACGAATGTGATAACTACTCCATTAATGATAAAGGTAAAAAAAAATTAATAAATATCCGTATCTATATTAATATATATACAAATACCTTGATCAAGGTATTTTACGTAATGAAAATACAAAAATCCTTAAAATCCTTAAAAAATACTGAAAGTCGAGTTCTGAGTTGTTGTCAGTAAATTCACTCATGCATGTAAAGTACTCAAACACAAAGAAATCGGTAAAAAAGCATGTCGTTTAATTGAGGAGACGTTCTTTTATGCTGTCTTTTTGATACCTGACTACTTTTCATGCACGAATGAATACACTGACCACAACTCATAATTCGACTTTTAAATCTATTTTTTAAGATTTTTTTTGTATTTTCATTACATAAAATACCTTGATCAAGGTATCTGTAATACCTTGATAAAGCTATATGGCTTTATCAAGCTATATATTGTGCTGGACCTGCAAAAGCCAAGTTTTCTAATCCAAGTGTAAAATTAAGTTTATCAATTATAAATCCAAGAACAAAATAAACTTGTTTTAATTCTTCTATAAACATTGTAGTTATTACAATCAATCATCTTGTTTAAACAAATTGCTCTTGTCAGTTTTGTGCTCCTGATTGAGCATTGTCGAGACATAATTACCTTGAGTAGAACTTAAAGGTCTCTTATTAAAGGTTCGCTCCTGACCTTTTGAGCAGATTTTTGTCTTGACCTCTATTTAAAAAATTCTGCTTAATGTTTTAGTTCTTACAATATATTTGGATTCTACAATGCTAATTAAACTATATTCAATTAAAACTCCATGATTAAATTCCATAACGAATTCAAAGCATTAAGAGAGGAACTATATTTTGTGGCAGAAGGTTTTTTTAGAAGAAAATTATCAAATTTTCTCTTTCGAAGTATTTACAGTATTGTTAAGTTTGGATTCCTATTTTTACATGCAGCCTGCAAACAGAGTTATTGTGTCATTTTTGTGCAGTGAAATGTTTTATGCTGGTCCTAAATTACATATCAAATTAACTGTCATGAATTCGATCATCATTTCTTACAAATACAGCAAATATTATTGTGAATGTAATGGAAAAAAACCCAAATTTAACAAGGTTAAGTCTAATTCAAGTGCACAGGACTTTGCGCAACTTTTTAATTTCATGCAGTCTTAGGTACAATAAGGTGTACTACATCCAACAAATATGAATAAAATTATGAAATATATAGCTATATTCCGCAAATCTGGAAATTTTTACGTTGATTTATTTTTGGGAATCTGCGTCGAAAAGCTGTTGATTAATTTTTACATTTCAAAATTTTGCAAACTGTCATTGGTACAGTGGTACTAAAATTTAAAAAAAGCTTAAAATTTTCAAAACAGTGTTGAAGTTATGCATGTACATACAATAGATTACGCATGTACATACATACATTATAAAACCATGCCAACATTGAATAATCATATTACAAATTATATATGTACATGCAATAAATTATGCATATACATACAGCATTAAATGATGCCAAAGTTCAATGATCAGATAAAAATACTGGAAGAGATAAAACATCTAAACTGTTTGAAGTTTTCATAACATTTTATTAAGTCAAATCTCGTGAACAATCTGTCTTGCTAGGATTAGTTGTTAGATAAAACAACTGGCCTCTCTTTCTTGGAGGATTAATTTAAAAGAGACATACTGCATGTCAAACCACCAGACGATATTGAATGTAGTGTAGGTACTCTCCACGCACAGATTATCACGTCAGGTAATTACTTAAATTAGATTGTAGAATAAACAGGTTTCTTAAAATGACTGCTTACTAGCACCTTTTCATGGGGTTAAAAATAGACACCAGCTTCCAGCAAAATTTTCGTTTACATTTTATTGTTGTTGATTTATTTTTATGACGAATATTTTTGCGAATGCAATCCACGCGCAAAGTTGCTAAAAATGTATCTACAGTAAAAAGTTCCAGATTTAAGGTATGTAGCTATTTCTTATTTCCCAGTATTTCCTGGCAAATACCAGTATTTCCCACCATCCTGGGAAATATGAGTATTACCGGTTTTTTGCCACCCAATTTTTATTAGTCTATCAAAGAAAAGAAAACATGGGTTCATTTAATTCCAACTTGTTTCCTTCACATACACATACATCGTATAAACTGGATTGCGAAACTTTTTGAGTTTTGAGACACATTTTTATGTATATATTTTTATATTATTAACATGATTAAGGTAAACAAATGCTCTTTAAAAAAACATTGAAAACATATGTTAATTAAAAACAGGGGGTTAAAGCTTCGAAGGGGTCCAAGTAGGGCTGGGACGATATATCGATTCTGTGTGAGGATCACACACATATTGATATGTATGTAGAAATATCGAAATATCAACAACAAAAATTCTGACTTATTTTTTCTTTATTTACTTAATACTTTTGATTAATATATAAGATATATATATGCTTAACATAAATATTATTTAATATGATATATATAATAATTTACACCACTTCTGTGAAACCATTTTGTTTATCAATAGAAAGACAGCTTCTACGAATAAATTTTCCTATTTGTGAAGAAATGTTTAATTTGTTCATTTCAATACAAAAAGAAGAATTTATAACCAATTCAATATATCGTGATACATGTATCTTGGCTCAAATATCGTGATATGTATTGATATTCCCAGCCCTAGGTCCAAGATAACTCTGCTAGCTGATGGGAAAATCTGTCTCACACCATGAGGTGGTATGTACTAATATTCTTGGATTCTGAGTGGCTAAATATCTGTTTCTAAAATTACAATGGAAAAATATCATAATGTTCTTATGGAAAATAACATAGAATTTTATTTATTCACTGCAATATTTATTAATAAACATTTGAATTGAATTTTTAAACCCACTCATTTTTAAATTTGCTCTCTGCCTAAGATTATTAGTTATCCAGGTCCAATCAAGGGTGTACGGGGATTTATCCAGAGTTTTATTCCATACACCCTGAGACCAAAGGGCGAAATCCCATACACCCTTGATTGGACCTGGATAACGAATTTATTTCCTATGTATTCAAATAAATTCTTTGTAAACAAGTCCAATCAACTATGCTTCAAGCTATCGATAAGATTTACTACATCCTACTAACAATGCATCATGATGTCATGTTATTTGCTTTTCATCATAGAGAAACTATGCATTGTGAAGTCACGTTTTTTACCCCGGCTCAAGTCAGGTGTAAAGAAATTTACACCCGACTTTGTAACCAATCAAAGCGTGTGTTACAATCTACATAGGAAATAATAGTAAATATACCTTTTCATGATGATGTGTGTTGAATTTTCCAGTCGGCAAGCAGAGTTCTGACGCTGTTTACGAAGATAAAAGAAAATGAAACCAAGCATGCCGTACGTGGTTCTTTAGATAAATTATCGTAGAAGACAATGGTGTTAGTTTGCTAGTGCGTTTTCTCTGAAAGTGTAAAATAACTTTGATTCCGGGAGGGAGGTACTACATGTAATTTGGAGTTAGATACCTTTTGTTATTATTATACTGTGGGTTAAAAAATTTGTTACAGGAACAGGTGTGTGTGTGTGGGCTCAAACCATTAATACATTCCTCCTTAAATTATCTTTGCCCTCAAAGACACAATACATTTTCTTTTTGCCCCTGGCAGGACTTTCATCTGCAAGTTCAGGGGGTGGTCAACAGCACTAAATTATGTAACAGGAAAGGAGAAAATGTACGGCTGGACTAGGAATTGAACGGAGGACCCCTGCATCATTTGTCAGGTGTTTTAACTACAGAGCTATACAGACCCGCCACTGCCAAAACCATTACAGATGAATGCTTTTCAAGATTCATAAAAAAATCAAACTGCATTGTTTTCCATCATGTCAGATCATGGTTCTAGAATTTCTTTTTTCCATTACCACAAGTACATTAGTCAAGATGACAGACCTGTTTGATTTATTATCTTTATGAAAGTAAATTAGTTAAATTGACAGATCTGTTTGATTTATTATCTTGAGAGAACTTGAGAGGCAATACTATTCAGTATTGATAGGCATTAGCTTCACAGAGTACTTTTTTACTTTACACGTAGTTAGTTTAGCCCGAAGACACGAATATTGCAGAAAACTATGAAAACAATATTCGCCAAGGAAAAAAAAAAGTATCCAGCAAAATTTCAACCCTCGACAAAGCTCTCTTTCAGACAAATACAGTAGATATCGATAAATAAGTAATGATTTTAAGAAACTTGGAACTTAAGCCACTATACAACACAATGACTCCCCTAGACATTCTGGCACCAAAATCCTGCAAAAAATACCGGTGCTAGTCTACGGTACTTACACCCCACAGATCCATCATCCTGGCCTAGATTTATATTCAGTAGGAATGGGGAATAAGATCGGGTGCAAAATATGTCAACTTTGTTTGTAAATATGCTGTTGTTTACCTGAAAAACTCTGTTTCTGTGCTCACTCATGGCGCGAGTGAAAATCAAAATAAAGCTAAGCCGCATGCGCACAAATCATTATACGAAGGTTTCCGGTGTGTATCAGGAAAGACAACTCTATTTCCCAGAAGTAGGCGGATCAAAGGATTTCACCAAAGAAAAAAGCTTAAAAATTTAATAAGTAAGTTAAATACAACAAATCTCAATAAAATGCAAAAAAGGTTCAAAAGGAAATATTTTAACCCTTTCGAAAGACTACACAGGTATTGAAGAGGATCTCAATTCAAAGTTGTAAAAAAAAAATCAATATATATTTTTTAAGCATATACTGATAAAAGCAAAGTTTCTCTATTCTTCTTTTAAAATCAATACTGATCAAACGTGTTCTGTATAATCTGGCATATGAAAGACCAAATCTTTAAATACTGATATTGATAAATTGAAAGTTACACTTTACATAATACACTTTAGATAAGTTTTGACTGCTCACCGCGTCCAAAACATTTTCTGGTTGTTTGGTAAGAGACATATATATGAGCTAGCTATAAAATAATTTTGCCAAACGTTCCATTGAAAGTCTTTTTCTTTTTTTTCTTTCTTTTTTTTTTTTTTTAAACCCTAATGTCTCCATTCGATGTATTGAAAGGATGCATCATAACGTAGAGAAATCAATCGATTAATGCCATTTTTCAGATAATTTAATATGTTTATTTTGTTTTTTGGGGGGTTTTTTTATATACTGATACATATATATCATGAAAGTTTTTCCCCGGAGGTGTATAAATCTGTCATAAAAACAAAGGTTGCCTAACTGATGAGTGACGGACCAAGTTGCATTATCAAGGTAGGGACTGGGTCTGATCGCACCTGCTTTACAAAAATCTCAGTTTTGAAATAAAATAATTTTTCATCTGTTTAAATCATGCTTATTTTGTATTCGAAAAAATGCATGCATCTTGAATGCATTATAGGACCTTGTCAACATGGCGCACCCATTTATATCCAGAAATGACTCAGGGGAATGACCAGTATATACTCACTGACCCCTCCCAGAACATCCCTGCACCCCCAAGTATGTAGAATATAAATCATTCCAGATTTCTGGTTCTGATTCTGGAATTACCTATATATACATATATTTCTAAGACTACTTCTACAATTAATTATTTTCCACTGATGTGAAGAATTTTTAGCAAAAAAAAAGGTAATAGAAATAACAATGATTTCAGATATTTGAATTCAGATAGGTAGCATCGATTTTCATAGAGGGGGTGGGTGTTGAGGTCAGAAAATAACTATAGGAAACAAGAAAGCCCGCCCCCTCTCCAAAAAAAAAAAATGAAGAAAAAAAATCCTAAACTTTGAACGTTTATTTCAGTGAGGGGGTTCTTTCATTTTTCCACAAAAATGAGAAAATGGGGACTAACCGGCTTTCAACTGAAAATTTTTGTAGAAAATTAACAACCTAAGACTATATACTCTCGGAAAGAAGTGGAGATGGGAGCACCCCCACCTTCTTTATGTTAATTACTTGTGAAATCTTCATAATTTTCTTCCGAAATGAAGTTAAATGAAGTCACTAGAAGCAAAAATCTACCAGAAATAAAAAAAAAAACCAACTGAAGTTTTCAAAAGACAGAGATAATTTTTCTTCAGTGTGTGAATTTTAAAAACTTGAGATTTTCCACGAAACTTGAGCATTGTCTATCACCAACTGGTGACTCGCTGGAGACCGATTACACAATAATCATTGATCGAAGTACCAAAGTTAAAGATCTCAACTGACAACCACAACAAAGCAATCTTGGTTAAATTTATTATCAGGTGCAAATTTGTGCAGGTTTAAATCTTACGTCGTAGATAAGAACAAGCAACACTGCGACAAAAAATTCAAAATAAGGAAGTGGTAAGGGTTTTCTTCAGTCAGCATTGAATGCAGATGTTCACAACAATAATGAGGCGTAAAATGTTACACAAATATTGAATATTGTGAACAAGCGCCGTAGGTAAGATTATTTGTATAAATTTAATTTTTAAAGATTCAAGTCTCATACTTTATTTTTAATGATGTTACTGCATCCTTCCACAGGTAAGAGGACAAGAGACTACCCAACATATACCATTTTTTGACTACGTTAACCTGGGATTCATTTAAAGTTAATTCAAAGTGCCTTCTTAATTTCTTACAAATCTTCGCTTGGTTACTTGCACGGCGAATTTCGTCGACGTACAGATGTATACAAACCTTTACTTTATGAGAAAGAAGCTGATTTTTCAAATGGTTTTCCAACCCCCCACCCACTCACCCCAAAAGATCTTTACAGTGTTCTTAGGTGCCGTAAATTTTTTTTCAAGAGCTTAAACTCACCCACGGAAAAGGTATATATGTTGGTCCGGGGGGGGGGGGGGATGAATTACAGTCGCACACTGTTAGTAAGCTTCGGTAAAAATCATCACCTCTTCTCTTTTACCATTTATTTTTACAAGTATCAAATGTATATATCAGATGGAAAATCAAACCAGGCAGTCATAAATTCTTTCAGAATATAACTGTTTTAGACTTGAAACTCGTGAATCCATTCTAATATCAGAAAGGACAGACACTGCTCTAATCAAGCCCATATTATAGATCTTGGCTTTACAAAAGGTTATTTTTCACTACTTTTAACTGCATTCACCCCCCCCCCCCAAAAAAAAAAACCAAACTTTGATAAAAAAAAAAAAAATCACACAAATATTCGATATGAGGCCATATGCATGCAAGATGATAAAGGAGAACAATTTTGCCGTAAATGATAGCAATGTATTACTTAGTATCTTGTTACCCAATAAAAAAAATCCAATAAACCTTGTATAAAATCTTTAATTTTTGGGATTAATATTTGAACTATGTTCAGTCTCCCTTAGCTATCACACAGATTGCGCACTGTGTTAGCCAGTTTAGTCTGAACTTTGCCCCAACAATCATACAGATATTGTATATGCATCCGATGAAGAAATTAAACACCACATAATCTTTTCAATATTCTTTATCGAGCGCAAGCTGAATTTTTCAGGTGCATCATTAAACCACAATCAATATTTATACCTAATGATACCTTAATTGGCATTGGTTGGGCTACGTACGTTTACTTCTGATGTGAGAAAAAAAAAGTTTTATACCTATGAGCTATATCACCATTTATACATGGCTCTTGTCAGCAACCTCGTTCTTACCTGCTGTAATTTAAAGTATATATCTCCCCTTTCTTTTCTTTTCTTATGATATTATGTATTTATTTATTTACTTGTAATATTCCTATGATTTGATGTATCCATGTTCAAGCAATCTCCCATGGGAGGAAATAAAGATAGAATGAATGAATGAGCCCATTGCCGATGAGAGAGAGAAGATCGAGAGGGGGTTGTTGAACATTAGGACTGACTGCGTAAGTTTACAACGTTCCCTATTCTACCGAATACTAAGGATTAGGTTGGGCCCAAAAATGGGATTTAAGTTTTAAAAGTGAAAACCATGTAAAAGAACAGTAATTTTTTATTCAAAATGTTCATAGTTATCCCCTACAGTAGCTAGGATAGGGCTACAACAGAAGGTCGGAATTTTAAATAGAAATTTATATTTAGAAAAAAATCAAAAGAAGCAGGGTTACGATTAGGTATATTAATATGCCAACGCCAAACGTAGTATGGATTGAGTTTTTGTAAATTCATGGACATTTGTGTTTGGGTGGGGCTACAAAAGGGGAGGATATATTTTCATGTAATACAATACACAGAGGGGGAAAATGAAAACCTTCTGATGAAACAACAGGACTAAATGAAATATGAAGATAACGAACAGTATTCAAACTCGAAAGTCCAATGAAAGGGTACAAATTTGGAGCAGAGCAAACACGGACCTCAAAATTTAGAGCTGGGATCAGGTGCCATGGAGGAGTGAGCATCCCCTGCAGACCGGTCACACCCGCCCTGTGCTCCTTGTCATGATCGGGAAAAAAACCCTGAAAAATCCGTAGACAGTTCAGTGTATAAGTAATGGCCTAACAATTAGTATGAAAAACATCAGTCAGCATTTGACTTTGTGTTGACAAGGTCATTGTATCTACCATAAAACTTGCGAAATGACGACTTCAAAGGAGACTGTTGATATCCTTGTTTCATCAACTTGTTTGTCAATAGTTTGCCTCGTTTTAGAAATTGTTCATATGTAGAGCATGCTCTTGCTTATCGAATCAACTGAGAGCATAAACCCCATATGCATGTGATAAGGGTATATTGCTATATAAGTAAGGGAAGTTGACGATTGAAAAGTTGAAGTCATCACGTTTATCATTTTAGGTTACCATTAACGTCTTTTTCTAGTAAAATATCTAAATATGAAACACAGGAGCGCGTTATGATCTATGGGCCTCTTGTTCGAAAGGGAATACTTGTTATATTACATGTATGTATTCTATGACATATTTATTGTTTGTGTATAGGTGCTATGACAGAGGATAACGTACACTCTTTATTGAAATGTGAAGAATGCGAAGTCGAGGCGGGGGAATTCCTGTGCAAGAACTGCCCAGGATATTTGTGTACAAGATGTAAAATCGAACACACTCGGCGGAAGATCACTGGGCATCATAATATCTCGGCACTTCCTCCAAAGAACGCTAAAAAACTGAGGAGGCACATAACTGACAGACCGAAACAAACGGCATGCATCGAGACGGATCTTGAATATCAGCTTGGGGTCAGATGTTTAACTACGACGAAGGTTTTACTATTCGGCAATGATCGTGATATCCGAATAATTGACGATAAGAATTGCAACCTTGTCACAATAACTACCGATACAGAAAAATCTCCCGATGGAATAGCAATTCTACATGATGACAGCATTTTGTACAGTGATATCGAAACCAAACGGATTCTGCAAGTTACAGAAGGGGGCGGATCTCGGACTTTGCTGACCACTGACTGGTGTCCGGCCGGGCTATGCGTTACTCAATCCGGTCACATTCTTGTAGGTCTCTTTCACGACTCAACTTATGTCACCGACCAGAAGGGTAAAGTTGAGGAATACACACTATCCGGAAGTAAGGTAAGGGAGATCACCGGGGAGGACCGGAAATTATACAGTCGCCCAGAATACATCGTCGAAAACTTTAACCAGGACATTATAGTCAGTGATTATAACCTTAAAAAGATTATTGCTGTCAATGAAAAAGGGCAATTTAGATTCTCCTACAGCGGCATGTGCTCAAAACAGAAATCAGAGCAATTCTTGCCCATGGGGATTGACGTAGACACTCTGGGTGACGTCATTATTGCAGACCAGTTTAGACACAGTGTTCATGTGATTGACAAAGACGGTGCCTTTGTTCGTTTGCTTCTGAGGGAGGCGGCTGGAATTCAGGAGCCACATGGCCTATGTTTTGACGGAGTGGACTCTATATGGGTGGCTGAACTGGAGTCACGAAAAGTGAAAAGATTTAGGATCTTAAAAAAGTAAATCCTTTACAGGATAACATTGTGTTAAATCCCAAGTGTTAAAGATTTGAAATCCATTCATTGTTGAATCAGGACAAAAAATAAATTTTTCTCACTGTATATTTAAATAGAAAGAATGTGGTCAAATTTCTTTACGCTTCGTCATCAGTTGCTTTACTTTCAACACTTCCAAGGAGTGCCGGCAATTACAAATCACACGAGAATTGCCTGAAGTATTTAAGAAAACTGTTTTAACAGACAAAAAAAAAATAACATAGGCCCTTAGTAAGGGGGGAGGGGGACCCGACCCCTTTTTCTAAGAATACTCTTCTGCTTAGGTTTATTATTATGTAAATAATAAATAATGGTCTGAATGTAGTTACAAGATAGAGACACCTTCCTCTCCCCAAAAGGATTTTAGAGTGGACAGTTTAGGTGCTTTGTGCTTGTGAATTTTTAGAGTGTCCCCTCCCCCTTTAAAACCGTTGCTACGAGCCTGTAACAGATGTGATAATATTGTCAAAAACAGTTGTTTCTACAAAATCGGTCATTGTTATGTAATTTTTAGGTAAGACACTGTTTCCAATGTATAAGCAAAAGTCAGAACGTTTCTATATGAGACACATATGCATTGAAATTATAATACAGGCAAAGTTAAAGACACTATAAAACATTACGTACTTTTATCTTTTAACGGCAGGTCATGCGCCGATCTAGAGGGGGAGGGAGGGGGTCCGGAGCCAACTCCCAATGGATTTTCAAAGTTATTAAATTTTAATGTAAAGTAACGAAAAAATTATCTTGGACCCACCCTCCTCAGAAAACAGAAACCCCAGGTAAAAGTCATGTCTCTGAAGAAAAAAGTAACTTGTCCTACCCCCCCCCCCCTACCCCCGTATCCGCGCATGCAGGTGCATAATTAATTTCGGTCATTATGTAGATTTTTCATCTTAATTTTTTTATACTAAAATCTCTTTGTTCGTATTTCTAAAATTATCTCCACTTGTTAATTTGAGCATGCTTATATCAGTTTAAAGATCTGAGAATTTTTTGCTGGAGAGTTTTATTTTGCATACTATTCACGCAGCATGGATATGGCCACGCCAAACTTCAGATGAACTTAAGAACAAGAAGCAAATAAAACAGCCGATATAATTCATTGAAAATTTGATGAATGAACAAATTCCCACTGAATACATATCCATAGTCTACAGATATGTTAATAAAGTTCATATAGAGTTTATAGTAAAAAAAAAAATAATTCCAAATATTCTACAAGATAATTTATTAAGAAGGGCGGATTGTATTGGATATTTGATAACATTTCACAGCATGATAAAGTCAAGGATCATTAACACCTGAGTAATATCAAAGGAAATCAAAAATAAATAATCTATAAATACCCGGTAAGTAAGTAAAATTAAATCCTTCTCCGAGCCATGAGGTTCATAATGGGTTGCTTATACCCAGTTTTTGTGGTGCTAAGCAGATGAGCGTCACTGACTCTCCCTGAACGGGGCGCCAGTCCTTTGCAGGTTTACCCTAAGCATAAACCGTTGGAGCTGGGTGGATTAAAACAATGCACATCAAGTGTCTTGTCTAAGGTCACAACATACATCATCAATTGACCACGGCGGGGCTCAAACCAGCGACCTTTGGGTTACTAGCCAAACACCTATGACCACTGAGCCACATAGTTATATAAAGTTGATACTAAAATAAAGGCACTCAAAAATATCATACAAGAAAAGGATGGATTCTATTGGATATAAGAAAGATTTCACAGACAGCATGAAGTCGGAGATTATTAAAACCTGTGTAGACTAAGTATAAAAAAAAATATCGAAAATAATCTATAAAAAGGTACATACATATCAGCAATGACAAATATACACAAGTACAACAACATAGAATAAACTAATAAATATATAATAATGTTAGAAAAAAATATACCCTTTCTTAATACATAGAATACATTAATAAAGTACCCTTGTTCACAATTTCATACATGTATATACAGAAAAAAAACTTGCTTATAAGGGACTCTTTCATAGGGAAATTTCTGATAAAGAATTTTTAAACTTCACATCTATTCTTATTATATTCACACCTTGTATACTTTTCTCAAATCACTATCCCCATAGAAAGTTCCCCCTAAATATTGACTGATATTTAAAGTCCTCGCAGACATCTACGGGGGCAGTTCATTTTAGAAATAAATTTTTACAAAACTTCCAAAAATTTCCTCATATATAGCACAGGTGCCTGGGTCTTAAATATATGAATATATATATATTTGATATATATGCAAGATCTCATTTCACCGATAGCGTCTGTATTTATCTGAGAAATGAGCATTTCTATCCAGAGTTATCGTTCCTGCTACGCTCCCACATACACTTTAGACTGTCAATGTTTGGTATACAAGATTCTTGGAAAAATTGCAAATGGTGAAAATTTGTATTAAAAAAAAGTTTTTTTTTAATTGTGTACTTATAAGTAAAAAGGACTTTTTTTCTATTCATCATCCCTAAAAGGATTTTTTTATCTAGTTTTTAATTTTTATTCTGCAGGGTCTGACTATTTGTGTAATAGTTTATTTTATGTAATTGAGTGTTACCTCACAATTTAAGGACTTTATTAATAGAAAAGTGTGAACGATAATACTTATATTACCTCTCTTCAGATTTCTGCATTCAGATCTGACCCAATACTAGCAGTTAGTAGTAAAATGATCAATTGTTATTGATTATTGTATCTTGTGTGATGGCATTATATATCCTTGACACATTTCTGGTGCATTATATGTACAGACACATACTCCCAAAGTGACAGGAAGCAATGGTGACATAATATACATGAGGACATTTGACTACAGTACAACTCGGTTATAACAAAGTCACTGGGACCTCGCTTTCTTATCTAGCCAAGATTTTCTATACACGTATAAGGAACATACTAAAAAGTCTTTTATGGGATTCACAAAAAATTCCTTATATTTGAAATTTCCTTATAAGCAAGTAAACTTTGCTGTAAATGCATTTCTTATGTGTAGGGCTTTACATAAGCTTCAAGAATTTTAATGCTTTTAACACATTTGATTTAAATTTGCTACAGTGTTGTCTGGTGTTTTGCTATAGGATGATGTAAGACAAGTTACCCACCTCCACCAACACCCCCCACCCCATTAAGTAACTAAAAGACTATATCACACCAAACTTAATTGACTTCCCCACTACTGATACAATGAATTTGTCATACTCAATTCAATAACAAACCCCCTCTCCACCACTAGCTCTAATCACAAGATGATAACATCCTTACTTGACCCCACCCCCCTTCCCCCCAATGGTAGAGCATTAAACATGTACCAACCAGGTACCATCCCATCCCCAAGAACAAGATGATTATGTCATACACAACTACAATACCATTCCTATCCCTGCCCTCCCAAGTAAGTAGATGATTTTGCCCTACCATCAATGTTTCAACACTATCAACCTTTTTTCACACTTAATATGTTATATCTACCCAGATTGGTACTAAAAGCTTAGACTAAATTCAACCCATTCAATTATATGCCATGATGAAATCTGATCCTTTCCTATAGCTAGTTTGTTGTCCTTACTGGGATGCCGAGGGCTACGTGGTTAAGCCTGGCCAAAATGTGGCATGTTGTCTTCCGAATATCTGGACATTGCTTGTCCTCCTGCAAGGAGTAACCTGAAATCTGTGTGTTGTAGTTCTTTAGTTTCGTTCTGGTTTAATGCCGTTTTTTTCTGATCATTCTGGACGTCTGCCTGCGAGTCAGGATCCTCTGTCTGAATTTCGAGTGGTGCTAACTGCGATGCTATTGGAACCCTTGGTTGGGGTGGTGCCTTCTTTGGTTTTGATTGGACACCTAATGGCTTAACATGCAGCTAAAAAAAACAAACCAAAGACATGTAATTAAGAAAGAAAAAAGTATGCTGTTTTTGGGAGGAAAGGAAATGAGGCTAGTCAGGGATTTATCTAGTAATAAATTATGCTTGACTATGCTATTCACATAAAAGGGGAAAAATCTGGACCTGTAAATATACTATGGGAGTTGGGGGGATATGCCTCTCTGGAAATTTTCCAATAAATGTTGTAAGAATTTGCATTTTGAGAGCATATATGGGGTCATTTCTAGAATTAGCACAAATCTTTATATTTTAATTTTTTCATTTATGTTTAATCTGATATATTTTATCTTAAAATTATTTAAAAATGACATCAGACAACAGAGCCAAGTCACCTACCGCATCTTCCAAAGCTGTGATCCACTCCCTAAAAATTAAAAACACAACATTGATCTCTGACTTCATTACAAAACTATATATATACAGTAAAGCTTGCATGGTTACAAAGAACTAATTCATAAGGAAATCCTGTTCAAAAAGAATTTTTTTAATGAATTCCGAAGGTGATTTTTCACCATGTTTTTCATATACAGTGAAACTTGTCTAATCCAGGCTTCGGGGCCATAAAACATAGACGAGCTCACTTTTGATCTCAGTCTCACTTTTATGAAAGGAATATATAGTGGAAAAGTGAGACTGAGATCAAAAGTGAGCCCATCTAAGTTTTATGGCCCTGGAGCCAGGTGTTGTGTACTCCGAAATCTTGCCTGATCCGATGTATTAAACTTTAAGCCTGTTTCAGTAAATTCATTTGTTTCCTGAGGTCCGTGTTTGCTTCACATAAAATTTGTCTTGTTTCAATAATATTTCAAGCATCATGTGATCATTAACTTCATAGTTCACGTAAAGAACTATGACTATATGGAATCAAAATAGTTCATCCCTGGCACTTTGCTAGTCTATAAACATGTTCTACTAAATACAATGAAACATCTATGCAAACAATTGATTTATTTAAAATTATATTGCAAATGGTTACTGTATAGCATCCATCCAAAAAAACGATACCTTAGGAAAAAAGATTTTTTTTTCCTTCCACTCTGCCCGTGCCCTCAAAATAACCTAAAACTGGCATGAACTTTACATTTCTCGAGGCCTTGACCTTCAATACTGGTATCTCATGCTATTTGGGTATCAAATCAACTTAACTGGTAAGCATTAAGATAAAGCTAAAGAAAAAAAGTCAGTCAAGCAGACATAAAATAGAGAGAATACATTTAGGCATTGAATTCTTATTTTTGGATGTCATTGGTCCTATAACACATCTGGCCGTGCCTACAAATTGAATACCGTGCGTTAGCGCGGTATGATAATGACATCCAAAAATAAGAATTCAATGCTTATATTTACATTCTCTGATTTTCTCTTTTCATAATTGTTTATTTTGTTAATCTTTATTTTGAATTTAGCGCCTTTCAGACCTGGTGTGCTTAATAGACTTAGCAGCCATTTGTGACGTTGGAAAGTTAAATAACGCAAATGAACATTGCGAGAAAAAAAATGACAAATTTATTTTAAATGCACAGTTGTATTTTATGTTAATTTAACAGGGTACTTGTGTTTTTGTTAAATTGAGTCATAACAATATATATTTTAGTGTTCCTAGATATTGAAAATGCATAAAGTTCCTAGTGTGTATTCTACTGCACAGTGACACAGTTTCACATGTGTTATAGAGATTTGATCATCGTAGATTTCTAATGAACTTCATAAAGATATTAACACTGAATGTAAATATTAAAAGAACTAGAGTGTTCCAAGGAGCGCATGTGTCGCCTGCTTTGTAGCTTCATTAAAGATGTAAATAAATTTAAGAGTGGTCAGCTTTTTATCTACTACTAGCATGATAGTTCATGCAGAAAAAAGCATCCACGCATAGTATAAGACTGCAATAGAATCTGACAATCAAAGAAATTTGATTCCCAACCCTAAAATGAATAATTCAATTGAATTTATTATAAATAATCCTTTATCATTTTACATGTATTAATCTATGTTTAAAAGTCTTTACTCCAATTGTCAGTCTACACGATCTATTATGGGATACCAATCTCGATGTATTTTCATAGTACTTGTATTTAAATATCAGTTTGTGTGGTAACTGAATATCATACAGTATCAAAGTACAGTATCATGAGATCATAAACATGTAAAAATGCTAATTATCAACACCCTACCTCTCAAAATTCAAAAGACCTAAGTTAAATTAAATTGTTCGGGGTATTTTTTTGCAAAGAAGGTCAAAGGTCAAGTGAATTGTAACGTTGGTATTTTTCATAAAGTTTTTTGACAATCAGTGCACATGCTTAATAGTGCATGAGACATATCTCTTAAATGTCAAAAATATGCTATATATTGACGTTATTCACTTCTTTGTAAAATAGGTCAAAGGTCAAGGGTTGCAAGGTCGGTAACCATGGCATTTCACAAAAGCCATACTGCCAAGCAATATATATGCAAAATATCAAGTCCATATCTCTTACAGTTCTTGAGATACAGGGTGTGACAGACGGACAGACAGCTAGACAGACAGACAGACAGACAGCTAGACAGACGCAAGGTAAAGTGATCCCTTAGTGCCGCTCTGCTCTGCAGGCAACACAAAAAGTACTTCATTTCTCTATCATCTTTGAATACAATCCAGTTATTCTTCATGTCCGTGGGGCGAGTTCCCTTGGGGTAGTTATGGGGGTAGGACATCATGTAGTTGATGGTCAACCCCAATGGGGGCTCAGGGCAGTCAGGAACCTCCTCACAGTCCTTTCCCACACTTATTTGGTCAGCTACTGCCTGAGGAAATAAGAGAATAAGGAGGGAATTCTGGGTTAGTGTGATTAGAATTCCTGATATATACACTGTTCCTTTCATATTTTGAGCACTTTATCTATTTAACAACCACAGATTTTACCTTTAATTTTACAGAACCAACATGTTCTGGAAACCGTCCATTGAAGGACCAATCAAATGTACCGTCCTCATACAGGTCAAATTGACAGCTCTTCCACTCTTCTCCTACAATTGTGTTAAGCATGGATAAAGACCTAAGCTCAAAATAAAAAGCATTAAACATATCTATAATATAGGTAAGTCATGTAAGGGGAATCATATTTAGTGGGCTATCTGCATAGTAACTAGAGATCTGTGAAATCATCATTGTTGGGGGGTGGGGGGTGGGGGGGGGCAATGTTCATGGATTTTGCAAGTCTCCATCACACACGAATTTACATCCCCATGAATGATTGCTTTGTCAACACACTGGTTAACTGAATCCTCTGTATATTACATGAGTTCTCAACGAAATGTGGTCCCCATGGACCAGTAAAATTTTGATTACCTATGAATATTGACCCCCTATAAAATGATTCCATACCGAGGCTCAACTTTTGTATAATAGCACAAATTAGTAACAAAGAGAGAAGATCAGCCGTACCTTGAGTTTCACAATACAAAAGAATACCCTCTTTTAAAATGCGGCCAGTTGGAGGCTTTGCCTGAGCTGAAATGTAAATTAAATATATATACATGTAGTAAGCATTAAAACTCATTGAGGTGTTACTTATACATGTTATAGTAATTTTTAAAGATTATTTTCCAGATTTGAGCACTGTAATAATATTCATGTATATCTAAATTAAATGACAGACAGTTGTTTAAAGTTGACCACTTAATGCCATTAAGATCTCAACTATAATAGTTAACAAACTGAGGAGTGGATCAAAGAGAAGTCTGTGTGTATTAGACTGAGTCTAAGTAATATACACAAAAGACAGTATTAAAATTTCAATTAATTAGCACACATACATTCTAAGTCAAAATTATCGATCTACCACACATATACAGTCTAAGTCACAATTTTCTAAGATAAAAATGTTGAAAGTGTTGCTATTTATAGCCTGAGAGGCTGAGTCTATTCATTACCTGCAAGAACCACTTTAAATGTATCACAGAATGTTAATGCTACAGTAAAAAAAATTTTTTGCAAGATTACTGTAAATTTATTATATTTGTTGTGTATGACATTTGGCGGAAAATGATTTTTCGACAAGTTAGCGTATATTTTATTTAGTGCATTCTGAATGCACTTTATATGAATATATAAACATAAGACATTTTACGATGTATTTAATTTAGTGGAAGCTGCTCTCCGCGAAAGGCACTAAATATTATCCATAGCCAAATCAATAAAATAAATGTAATATGTTTACAGTATTATGCACTAGCTGGTATTAAAACTATTCTACAGGTTAACGGAAGTATGTTAAAAAAAGAAATTATGTAACATATCATATGACACATTTAAATATTTTCAGCCAAAGACACTTTCTTGTTAAGGTAGAAGAGCATTTCATTGGACCTGGGTTGATTAACTGACAAAAGACAGAATGGTGCAAGACAGTGTACCTCATTCTGGAAAAGGACCTCATAATGAGGGTTAAATGAGGACTTTTAGGACTTATAAGCTTCCCATCCAGTTTCTCTTTGCCAATTTTTCAATGTTTAGAAAGGTCAATCCTTGATAATCCAGACGTTAATAATCCAGACATCCATAATCCGATCATCAATATTCCAGGCATCCATAATCTTGATGCCAATACTCCAGCATCCATAATCTGATCATCAATATTCCAGGCATCCATAATCTGGATGCCAATATTCCAGGCATCTATAATCCGGATGTTAATATTTCAGACATTCATAATCTGGATGCTAATATTCCGGATGTTTATCAGCCATGGCAGTTATAAAAGGTTAGGAATGTTTCAAAAACCTGAAAGCTTCATTAATTTGGATGATCTGCTTGAGAATACAAGTGTCTGGGTTAATGAGACTTGACTGTAAAATCAGTTCCTCTTGAGATGATACAGATGTTTTGAAATATATTATCCAAATAACTATACTGTTACAGCATTCTCAGGAAATGAAGTCTCTCCACACTTCCAATAAAATTTCTGTGTACCAATGTACAGTGCATTTTATTCTATCACGATCCTGAATCAACATATTTTAAATCGGCAATGAATTAAGATCCTTCTGTCCTTTGTGTGTGTTGAGGGTGGGGGTAATAGTCTCTTTGCAGACCAATTTAGATTTCATGGAGCAGTACGTACGTGGTATGCTGGCTAGGTGTTGGTCTGTAGTTTTCTTTTCACTTTTGCATGTCAGGCAGATTCACTTGAACACTTTCACCAGATAGGCCTGTTTGTAAAAGCCGCAGCATTACTTTAGTGTTCACAAACCAAAGATTGAATCCATTGCATTTTCTTCCTTCCTGTTGCTGAACATTTAGTAATCATGGCTATGTTATTCAGATAAGAAAAGATTGACAGAGTGAGACAGAAACTGAGTATATATATATACAGTATATGTTATACAAGTATCTAGTGAGTACAGATTCCAAATTCAGCCATAAGTCCCTGATTCAGTCTATTATAAAGGTATGTGTATAGCTGTGCTTCAAATGCCTTGTTCTGAAAGGGTGTTCACTCTACTGAGAAATATCATAATAACTCACGTTTTCCAGCGTTACATCCCATAATGCAGTGTTGTTATAATCATACAATAATATAATTATATCAATATGTCTGAAAGAGATAAATCTTAATATCAATATTTTATTGCTAATCCTCATTACTGACCACTAATATTACAGTACGATGCTGTACGGCTCAGTGACCATGAGTGCTATAACATTAAATAGTCCAAAATATGTGATGTTTACCAGGTTTATTTTCTCATAATTTGGATTCTGATCCAGCATATTATTAAAGTACAAGCGATACATGTAGCTGTGCTTCAAGTGCATTGTCCAGAGTCAAAGGGTGATCACAATACTAAACCAGCATAAAACTCATGTTTTCCTGGGTAACTTCCCATAATGCAGAGCACCTATTAAACATTGATTTCATTTAAACTATATAAATTTGCCTGAAAGGGATGTTATATAATATTAATTATATCAGTATTTTGGTTATGCCAAGGACACATATCACATGTGTACATCTTCCTGATCATGCTCATCCTCAATGAAAATTTTTGATAACTACATTGACTTATATCCTAAAACCTTGAAAATTAGTCGGATTTAATAATAAGCCGGTTTTGAAAATAAGCCACCTATTTCTTGCATTGAAAATTACTCGAAAATAAGCCTGATTTGAAAATAAGCCGGTTATGATAGTTCCATTTAGAACACAGTGTTATTTTTAATTACAATATATTTTATTTTATTATAAACATTCTATGACATTAATAATTTTATTCAACAAAGCACAAGATATTAAAGCACTATTATTTTCTTTTTAGCTCACAGAAATCTTGACATTCATTACATGTCGTCTTTATCCTCGCAAAAATAATTTTATTTCAACAATGCACGAGAAACTGTTGAACTTCAGTTTTATAAAAACGACTTAAATCTTTATTTAGCAATGGTAATCATGACTGTGTGCATCGCAGTAATCTCTTATTTTCAACAGAGCTCGAGTTATTTTAATAATTAAGTTTTAGCAAACTTGATATTTCTTTTTTTAAATTACTATAATGGACGAAGGTTATAAATCGACTCCAATTATATCAATGAAAATAATCAAAGCCATTGATAATAGGGGTGATGAGAAAATTATTAAACAAACATGTACACTCCTTCACAACAATGGCTTTAATTGGGACGTATACAGGGATGTTTACATACATGAAATTTCCACTGAGTTATTTAAAATCAATATAAACTTATAAATTGCTCTTTTTTTTTTTTTTGAAAACCAAGTGTCAGACTGATTTGATACATTACGCAAACAGGTGGCAAAGGAATGTGTAAATGTCTATAAATAACATCATGATATGGCGGCTTGAATATGCAGCTAAAATTAATTTTAACTCGCTTTCCAATATAATTTAAGCATCAACAGATTATAAATTTAACATTTTCAACAAGTTTATGTTCTTATCATAATTTACTAAGGTTTTAAATGTAGAGGTAAACAACAAGAAATTGTCTATGTCTGTTGGTAATGCTACAGTATGTCCGATAGCCGTGCATATTGTGGCAGTTCAAAATCGATCGATCATAATTTATTGTTTATATAATAAGCCGTGATTATGCTCTCGTCAGCTACCGGTTTTTGGTTTTGATAATAAGCCGCGATTTGAAAATAAGACGGTTTTGAAAATAAGCCCCCATTTTCTTACCAAAACTTAAAATAAGCCGCGGCTTATTTTCAAGGTTTTAGGTATCCTCTTTCAGGCCTTTCAAAATGTAACCTGTACTTTTACCCACCTGAAATCGTGAATGTTCATTGGCGGAAAATTTGATAACACATTTCATTAAAATCACTTCCACAAGAAACCTCCTGTTTCTTATCTTTTTGAAAGCTCTGCTCTTAAGAGAAGTGGATACTATACTTTTGTTTACATGGATGTAGGCAAAAGCCTTTACACTTCTCTAAAGAGAAAACATTGACATATATATGTCAGTAATACATGTAGTACAGTACCATTAACAGTGATACGTTTAAAGGCATTTATATGAATAATAATGATCAATACAGATACACATATATAATTACTTTATACCTGAATTACCATTTCAAAGGGTAGATAATTCTACTTCTCTCATGATCACAGGCAACTGAAATTTTTATCAGTAAGTTGCAAATTAAGTGCTAGGCTAGCCCTCCTAACCCCTACTATAAATGTAAAATAAGTAAGGTCAAAGCTATTATTTGCAAGTCATTGATAACATTTCAGATGCCTGTACCATGCTCGATGATGCAATCTTCACTGTTCAAGCTGCCATCAGCTGGTCATGCATGCATGTCACCAGGGACCTATATACTAACAGGTCTAGGAAAATCACTATATTTAGCTATATAGCTAAATCTACCTATATAGCTTTATTTACCTATATAATATAGCTTTAATTAGCTATTTCAGAGTAAATTTCTGTTTTATGAAAAGCAGACAAAAAGTCGCATAATGAGGCAGTATTAGTTTTCAACTTTGAAATGGACTGAAAACAATTCACCAAAAACCCACTTTTAAAATTGTTTCTCCTTTTGTGCAATTGCAATCAAAGATCTAAAAGTTTTGGGGCTATGTATAACAGTTAATCTGTGAATAAGCAGCTACTTTAACAAAGAAAAGCAGTTTTGGTCAACAAGATAATTGATTGGTAATAATTCAGCACAATGCAAGGCAATCACACTTTGTCATGCCTCATTGCACTTCCAGTAATGGACAGCTATCCAAACAATAGAGAAATCTGAGATGCATTTTTTTGGTTAAAAAGTGTTTAAAAGAGGCAATGTTTTTACTATCTATGCCCTAGGTTGCTTTTATCAAACCTTTTTAAAAAAATATCAGCTTTAATTTTCATGCGACTTTTTGTTTGCTTTTCATAAAACAGAAACTTGTTCTAAAATAGCTAAATAAAGCTATATTATATAGGTAAATAAAGCTATATAGGTAAATTAAGCTATATAGCTAAATATAGTGATTTTCCTGGACCTGACTAACGTTAGTATATAGGTCCCTGATGTCTCTCATGCACATGTCACAATATAAAAGCAGGGTATAGTCAGAGGAATCTCGGATTAGTCACACACTTCATTTTCACTGCTCAAATTTTTAACATGGTTAAGCAGATGTTAAATTTAAAGCAATAAAATTAATGTACAACCTTTAATAGGAGCGCTGGCCGCTGCTCCCATCTTCTTTAATTTAATGCCATTTTCTCATCTAAGCTAGAAGTCAATTTGTGAAGTTTACCACTGCTTGGGAACTTGTAAACAGAACAAAACTAGCGTTTGACTAATTGAGGAAAATGTCAGTCATCTAATTAAGAAAAACTTTACTTTAGGCAAATTTATTGCAACCGAATAAAAAACTTCTTTTTTCTTTGCTGATTTTATTTTTTTTTTCATTGAAGAATGATATCACATTAACTGTGACCGATCTTTTATTTTTACTAAAATATAACTTTTAAAAACAAAATATTTTGAATTCCGAGCCCGGCTTTTGTACATAGGCTATTTGTATGCAAGAAAAAAAAACAAACTGTTATCCAATTTGAGAGAGAGACTTGTTAAAACTACTTAAATCAAATTCATTTTTACAATTAAAAAAAAAGCTTAGAGAATATAATACAGGAATGACACGCAGTTTCAATCCACACTAAAACTTATAAGAATTAAGACACTTTCGAATAAATTGTCCAAAATTAATATTATAAATAGAGTTATCAAAATATATCAATGCTATAAGATATTACATGTAGTTAAAATATATACATGCATTAAATGCTTTTAGTTTAGGGGGTGGGGGGATCAATTGCTCTAAAAATTGGTACTTTTTTTTAACTTAAGAATTGCTTAGTTTGTATAATGTCAACATTCACTTTCTAGATCAGTAGATGACACTTTTGATAGACATATTCGTAAATATTTTCGCAGTGAAGTTGAAGAAAACCGTGTGGGTCGATAATTTGAAGAAAAAAAAACAAAGAAAGCAAGAAAAAAGGTTATTGCCCAACCTACCATCAGGAGGGCCATAATTTGAACAAGGTAGAACTTCTTTCGTAGTTCTTGACTTTTCTTACCCAGTGGTTCTTGAGAAGATTTTGAAATGAAACTTACAACGAAGTAGTATTGGTTTGGTTTTATTATGCCAAAAATTTTAAAAAGTTTTCAAATTTGCTCATTTATGAGTTGAATATATGGTTTTGATAAAGCAGGAAAAATATGACATAAAGGAGAGTCATTCTGGAGATACGACTTCATAAGTTTGTTACAAAAAAGTTTAGTTTTTAATTTATCGCGAGGAATGGTTGTATAATGTGTAGAAAAATTATACATGTACCTTTTCCTGCTACTGACTTTTGATTTTTTTTTTTTAAATTTTTAAAAATTCTTTGGATTTTTTGATAATTATTCTGAGGTATTAGAATGCATCAACTTACAAGGTTTATAGAGGATAGGCTTCTATATATCATAGATATAAACTATAAAGACTTGATAATGAAAAATGATATTTCAAAAGTAGGTCACTGTGACCTACTTTTTGTGAAAACATCCGAAGTTCTAAGATGTTAGTGCACCATTTGACAAGGATGATATAAGGCCTAATACCAATGAAGATATAGCAATTTGATGATGAACATGATAGAACACAAAAAGTAGGTCAATGTGACCTACTTTTGGGCCAACATATCCTGAGGTCCTTAGGGTGGTACAATATAGTTAGGCCCAATTTTTTCTCAAATTCAATTTGTTAAATTTCAAAAGTTAAATTAATTAACATATTTGAATGATATTTTATTTTTATAATTATAGATATTTATGTGAATTTTCATAAAACATAACTAATTTGGAAAACAAAGAGAGATAACTCTATAATTTTGGTAATAAGTGCGTTTTTCACTATTTTCATCATACAGAAATCAACGGAAAAGGAAAAATATTTTCAAAACATCTCCCCCCCCCCCCCCCCGTGAAACAAAAATTCCTTTTTATAGGTTTTATGAATTGTTATTTCTATCATGTTGTAAATTTTGAATTTACTAGGGGGAGATAAATGCAAAATTTACTGTAAATTTTGCATTTACCTCCCCCTAGTAATTTCAAAATTTACAACATGATATTTCACAAATTTATACCTTAGCTTTTGTTGTTTCAAGGGCGGGGGTATGTTTAAAGGAAAAAAATGTCCTTTTATTACCATTTTCAAATGAAATAACGTACTTCATCGTTTATGTTGAATTTTACACAATTAAAACTTAGATAGAGATTTAAGGATCATTTATCCATTTCCATGGGTATTTGAAAATCTGGTGATGTTTTAAAGTCTGATTTCAATGAATAATTTTTTCAACCCATCTTATGAAAAGATTTGTAAATAAGAGCAATAAAGTTTTTGACACTGGTGTTAAAATTATTAATCGATTAATAATGAACTCTTCTTTGCATTCAAACGAGATTTAACGGCCAGACTGTCATTTGTATTGAATAAAATGGGTGTAATATGAAGGCCGCGAGAATGAAGAGTTAGCGTGCGGGGTTCTTCATCCACACGTTCTTTGCCCATTTGTCAAGATAGTCGATGGCACGATAAAGAACCTTCAATGTTCAATGGCCTAGAGTGCCGAGTAAAGGTCTAAATTTGAAGCCCTTCACCGATATATGGTGACATCTCTATACATGTATGAGTGAAAATTCTCCAATGCGATGTGAAACAACATATAACCAACCCACCCACATAGTTTGATACAAAGCCTTTCAGACCCCTAAAGTACAGCTGAAAGAGGGTGAAATCAGAATTCAACAGTAAAATGTGCATTTGTTTAACATTAACATTTGACAAATTACATGTACAAATGTGTGTGATTCTGTTTAAAAAGATATTTTTTGTTACTAAAATTCAGTTAAATATACTGATAGAGGTATACTGAATACATTGTGTTGTAAATAGAACTAACATTACTCAGGAATTGCAAATTCACATGTAAATATACTACACCTCAAGATATCGTAGAAGAAAATTATAATTCAAAGAAAGAGGGCGTACAAGGCGAGGACAATCTCCCGCTCTGGCACAATATATTTATCAATTTTCAAAGCTCACGGAAAAGTCATATTTTTCTAAAATAATGTTTTCAGTAATGTCAACTTGAACAAATTAAATTCCATTATTTTAATGAATGATTTTTTGATAGATAATTTTTTTTATTGATAATTTGTTTTTAAAGTTGACAGTAAAGGATATGTAGTGGAAAATGGGTTTATCAGAGCCATAAAAAATGATTTTTGAATATGAATTGGTCAAGTCCCCATTATTCATTATAACAGTTAAAGTATATCATTGCATGAGGGAGTTAGCAAGATTCCAGTTCCCCAAGGCCAGGACTATTTCCCTTATACCAATGTATAAGTAAAATCTAGAGGATTACGGATAACCGGGAATTAGCTTTTGATGCAGAGGTTAGCTCACTTGACTAACGCACGGGATTACTTAGTAGTCCACTCATAACGATTTCTAGGGAATTAGTCACATCTAACGATCTAATATTATTTAGGGAAAATATCAGTAGAGGTATAATAATAACGTTTAAATGACGAAAAAGTAAATGTAAAATTTATTTCATGTTTCAAAAAATGGGCGTCTGAAACCATTCTAATCGAACATTTCTGAAAAAAAAAAATTACGCTTCATCAAGTTCGTTCCAAATTCAATTTCGTTTCTAAAAGTAGGTCACTGTGGCCTACTTTTTCGCTGCCAAATCCTGGGACCCACAGATGCATCAACGATCAAGTTTGATGATCCTAGGCCGCACTGTGTACAAAATATACATAAAAAAAACATTTTGAAAAATGATAAGCTGCAAAATCAATTAAAAAAAATAAGTCAACTAACCTACATGTACTTTGGAGTGAGCATAATTTGAGGTCCTATGATGCATCAACTGACTAGATTTGATGATACCAGTCCTCATAGGTTGCAAAGTATCAAAGTTTTAACAAATTATTATCTAAGGTCAATTTTGAAGTGATCTTGAGACCATGCCCTTAGCCCTGAGGTAATGCCTTGAACAATCTTCAATCTACAACATATCCTCGTCATTTTTAACAAAATATTATTTAAGGTCAACTTTGAGTGACCTTGAGAACACACGCTTTGACCCAAGGTAATGTTTTGTACAATTCTCAATCTACAACAAATCCTCATCCCTCTGTGCAAGTTTGTTGATAATCTGCCCTGTGTTTCATGATATCTTTTTAGCAACCACTACTTTTGTTTTATTTTCCTTAATTATCTCCCCTTATTTACGGGTAACTTCTCTAAATTTTTTAATTTTTTTTTTTCACAAATGAAAGCCCTTGGGCCACGTATCCTCTGTTGCGAAAATTCGGCTAAGGGGTTCTTGAGGTATGGCCCATATTCCAAAAAGTTGATGCACATCCCACACCACACAAACGGTCATGAAATTAATACCTCTTTGGGCCTTTGGCTCAAAAGAGCTAAACAATTTTAAAATATTAAATGTAATCTTTTTTAACCTTTAACTATAAATCTGCATCTGTTATGATCATTTTCTACTTCAAGAACCTCATTTCTTCACAATATTCTTGTGAATTATTGATGTACATGTATCATCTATTCATTCAAGAAGACAAAAGAACACATCTGCAAATAAACGATTTATTTAATTTTTTTTGCAAGTTTAATCACTTGGCCTCAAAAAAATTGTGCAGTGCAGTACCAAAAAAGAGAAAAAAAAAATACAAAAATATTGAAACAAAAAAGGGACAAAAACTGCTCTTGGCAGAGACAAACAAAAAATATATTTAAAAAAGAGGCTGCCTGCCTTAACTGCACTATACAAAATGAAATGTCTACAAAAAATAGAGAGTGGACCTTAATCTCCAAAAGACATAGCAAGTAGAGCATAATATCATGAATGCTTTTATACATCTTCTTATGACCACTAGCTTCAATCACACATTAGATATACTTAGCATTAAACACTTGTAAAAGAAAAAAATCTACCTCTTCTACAATGGTCTTTTATTTTTCATCATCATATTTGAAAATGATCTCTAGAAAAATTTTACAATCACAAAAATCTATCAAAATTTACACAAGGTACGTTTTCCTTCTGACAAAATCTCATTTTTCTTTTGAAATGAAATGTACTTCTCTAATTTTACCACAGTACAACTATCAAACAGTACAACTATCAAAAAGTTGTCAATGTTTCTATCAAACAAAAAAAAAACCAACAAACTATATAAATGGAATGTCACATGTACTGGTTCTTCAGTGTCTCTGTAATGAGCCCACGGCACCTCATACAAACTATCCCTGATTCAATTTATGCTAAAAAAACTTCAAAACATTAGAGTTATCTCTATCAAAAAGTTTGATACAAATACTCTTCCACATATTTTTCCTGTGTCCTTCCTTTCTTGGTTTATTTTATTTTCACAATAAAATCTTCCTACCTTTATCTCTCAAGTCTAAGTAAACAAACAGTATTTCCAACAGTGTATAAACTTGAAGATTAACATGTTAAAATTCAAAATAACTTTGAAAGTTCTTCTTGAATAAAACAAAGATTCCATTCAGGAAATAAATCTAATCACTGACAAGTATCCCGGGGTAATGCTAAGCAGTACTCTACCAGAAATCTCTAAATCTATATTGATTTGAAACAAATTAATTTATGATAAAATCTTTGAAATCTAACATCTAATCAATCAATCAAATTGTTATTATGCATAACATTCAGAAAATTAATGTAAGCATGTCATACAATTTTGTTTGAACCTTAAAGAGGAAGTTAGAACAATATTCAAAATATGTGTCAGGCCCTGTTACAAATTTTAAAAAAAATACAATAATACAAAAAAAATCTCAATTGAGAAAAATCAATATGATCAGTTTATAATGATTGCCCTATCACTAATAAAGCAATGTTATGCATAATTACAATAAAAATTACTTAACATTCATTTTCTTGCTGACAAACTCAAGAAAAAATCCTCTTCAAATATTTGTACATAAAAATTATTTTTTGGATATGCACCAGTCATAAAAGGCCAGAAATGCACACTGACACACAATCTTTTCTAATAATGTAATCAAAACTATAACATTCTTTCCAAATGTCTAGCAAGATTTTTTCCTTCAGTCAGGTAAAAATGAATGTTAAGTAATTGCCTTCACAGTTTGAACAATGATTAATACATAGGTATTGTTTAAAATTAATTATTGTAAATGTATAAAACCTTCTTTGTCTATAAGGAAATCAAGAAGAAAATGTGTACATCTTATACTCAAGAAACTGAAAGATAAAATTTAAATCTTGATTTACATGAAACTAATAAACGAAAAGGTAAAAAGTGGTCTTGATTAAAACTGTAATATAATTAAGTACAATTCCTTCTGTGATTGGTCATTAATTAATCAAAATTTGATCAAGTTAAAAAAAAATCCGTCAGAAGAAAAATCTTTATTCCAATTCTCTCTCTCTGAAGATTCTAAAAAAAAAATCTTTTTCTTCTGTCTATTGAATTTAAATCAGAATACTGAATGACACACATACAACAGTAGAGTTCTGATTGGACAAATCCTTTAAAAAAAACAAAAAAAAACCCACTTGTTTCATCATAAAAGAATTGAAGATTTGTTCCTCAAGTAAAACATATATAAATACTGGATTCTCTTAAAATGTGCGATTAAATAGTCTGGATTTTTGTAACAATCACAATTTTGACAAATCAGTTATAAGCAGGCAAATTTAAGTTCCAATTTAATTATGTGTTTCTGTTTTTACAGTGGCTAAATTCCCTAACATTAACTGTCCTTCATGAAAAATGTTGGAAAAAGAGAATGTTAACTTGCAGTGCTATTAACAGGTGCAAAAGGCCAATGAATATGAAATACAGCACAAAACAACCAACACAAAAAATGGAATTCAAAATCCTATCACCCAAAAAATTCTTACACAAAATACACTAACACAAACTACCACTTTATTTACATCATACAAGTCTGGAATGCTTTACACTTATCACTTGGTAATAAATGAAAATTCAAAATAATCTACATTTTACAAAAAAAAAAAAAATGAAAGAAAAAATATAAAACATGAAATAACAAAAAAACAAAAATTAATACAGATAAACATTCAGCTGACAATGTATAAGTTCTAACCTTCTGTGCCTAAAAAATGTGGAATTTTAGTGTAAAACGTAAAAATCTTTTAGATTCAGTGGAAGCACATCATGTATTTAAAACTTTTCTTTGGTCAACTCCCTTTAAAGCCTTTTTTACCTCCAAAGCAAAAAGAGTTACACACATAAAATCTATATTCTGCACATAGTAATCTTGTACAAACATAACTAAAGATTAAATGTCGTAAATGACTTGTAATGACTAACCTTTTAAGCATGGCCTTAGGTAAGAAAATAAATATTAAAGTAGTTAAAAAAGTGTCATGTTTCCTCTATAATGTAAAGGTTTCCTTCTGTATGTGAAATTCAAAAGTTTCTCATCAGACAGGTAGCACTTTCAAATAGCAAAATATAAAGATGGTCAGCACTTACAAGTAAAATACAGCCAAAAAAAAAAACTGCATCAGAAAAACAACAAAATAATTTCAAACACAGAAACAAATATAAACACTTTAATACAAGGAATCAGAGCAAACATTTTCAATTACCCCACACAAACAAAAAACATAGTCTGGACCTGTACAAAAAATACTGCCAACACCCAGGCTAACATTCCTAGGTTATCTAATAGGCCTTTACATAAAGCTGTCCTCGCAGACAGAGAGATAAATCAATTTTTCTGAATCAGTAAGAAAAATCACTCAAAATCAATAGTTAATCACATGTATGTAAAAGTTGTAGTTCTTCTTTAAGATGTAAAAATCATATACAAGAAATAAATACACCCTTTGACCTAGAAACATCTCACTCAGGTCAAATACATATCTCGAGACAAAAAAAAAAAACAAAGAAAAAAAGATTTTAAATTACATAAAAACTTCAGCTTTAAAGAGTAAAAAAAAAAATTCTTGTCCTTAAACATCCCAGGTGGTGAGGGAATTTCAATGTAAAGAACAATAATTTGCATAGCTTTATGTTAAAAGTGAGAGAGATTTTTTTTCATGTAAATCACAACATGTTAAAAAGTTCAGATACAGCAGTAATATCTTTCCGAGACACTAATATCTAAAATGAGACATTTACTCTACTCATCTACTTGGACGGAAAAAAGCAAACTTTTTATAAAATACAAAACTTTTCAATGAACACAGATGTGTATTAAGCACTTTCCTGAGCACCTTTGAAAAAAAAAAAAAGATTTCTTTTCAGTAAGTTTTTTCCTGCCTTATCAAATCTCAAATCTCTGATATGGATGGAAAAGTTCAAATTTCATTTTAAATGAGGCTGCCGGTATCAGGTTGGTTGTCTCATCATTCCTGGTAACCGGTTTTCTTTACACTGATGCGGCCGCGATCAGGTTGGTTGTCTTTGTGTTCCTGGTGACCGGTTTATGATGACGGAGACTATCGAGCGCGTGCTGCCAGTACCAGCAATTCCTACAGAAGTACTTAAAGCACTGCATGTCCCGACAAAAGTATGGACCCTGTTGGGTGGCACACAGGCTGCAGATCGAATCCTCTAGGTACGGGTCAACCTGGATCTAAATATAAAATACAGAACATATAACTATCCAAGCCTCATAAATTAACTTTTGAATATCTTGATAAAAAAAACTTAGACAAAGATTATTTTTAGACAAATGAACTTTTCTATTGTTAATAGAATCTTAGATTTGATGCAACATTGTACAATTCCTTTCCTTATCTAAGAATTCAAAATAAGATTTGGACAATACCCCCCCTCCCCCCCCCCCCCCCCCCCCAAAAATGATATCAAAGGTGCAGTCATCTGAAGGCTCCTTTAAGCTACTGCTTTCTTATTACGGGGGTTAAATCTGAATCTACACTACCTGAGGATGCTTCCATATCACGATGACTAATCATGGCTTTGCTTTCTTGAGAGGAGAATTTTTAAAGATTTTGTTCCTATATATTCCTATGTAAAACTTTGATTTCCCATTGTGGCCCCATCCTACCCAAGGGGGTCATCATTTTTACAAATTTGAATATACACTATGTAAAAAAGGTTTCACATAAGTTTCAACTTTTTTGGCCCAGTGGTTCTTGAGGAGAAGATTTTTGGAACATGCCACCAAATTTTTATTATTTCTAAATTATCTCCCCTTGAATGAGAGCATGGCCATTTATTTCAACAAACTTGAATCCCCTTTGCCCTAGGATGCTATGTGGCAAGTTTGGTTGAAATTGGCCCAGTGGTACTGGAGAAGGAGATGAAATTGTGAAAAGTTTACAATGACGTCGGCAACAACAACAGACAACAAACAAATTTTGATTAGAAAGGCTCACTTGAGCCTTTGACTCAGGTGAGCTAAAAATGTCAAAACACATAAAATTCCTTAACCCCCCCCCTTTCATAAAATTATGGGTCAAGGTCATGCACACCTTCAGGTCAAGAATGAGCTTCCAATGCTTCCCTATTACAATGTTATGGCCCAGACACAATTGCAAATACAAACAGACAGGCAGACAGATGGATGGACAAGCTGATAAGGTGTCATGGAAATTTGATGATCTACAGAATTTCTTATAATACTCACAGTTATGGTAAGACTTAATTTGCACAGAAAAACTGAATGACAAAAAAAAAAAAATTCTACACCCTCCAAAACATTAAGTGAGGAGTGGGAAAGGAAGGGAATTCACAACCATGCATTCAGGAAAGAAGCCTTCGCGGCTAGGATAAGGCTGTCCGAAAAATGTCACAGTATACCAGCCGTAGTAACTTTTCTGAAGTACCTAGATATGACGTCATAATGGCATATGACATCAAGTCACTGCAAATTTGAGCAGACATTACGGGGAAAGTGTCATTACTTTTACATTCCTTTCACATCACATGTAGATTTTTTTTAAGTTGATGTTTAATTCATGTGTTTTGATTGTTGTTTTAAGACTGTTATGATGGTGAATATTTGCGGTATAATATCGTTATTGCTTTTTCTTGTATAACATGTACGTGTTCAAACAATTACAAAAAAGATTGTGAAATGCCCCCTTTACGCGTCCTTAGACCGAGTCAGAATTTATAAATCTTATATATATTAGACTGGCACAAGTGAATAATAAGGATTAATTGAAGATACTCTGTGTGAATCTACTACAATAAAATGTTCTCTAACTGAACTTTGCTGGGGGATTGTATGTAATTTTTCCCATTTTGTATAAATTGCGATGAAGAGTGGAAAATGACCCCTTGTATGTGGGTAAGTTAAATTTCTCGTGAAATGTTTTCTTAAGAAATAAAATTCAGACTTGCCCCCAGCACTTTATATACACCCAAGAATGCGTTTAATTGATTTATGTAAGAAGCTGTTCACAATAAATTTGTTTTTCACTTGTGCCGATTCGATTTTTGTGAAACATTTAAGAAAATTTATAAGTGTCCGTCACGTGATCAACACAGTCATGTGACATCATAAAAATGCTTTTTTATAATACCTTATTCAACTCTCTTTACAGCTTAACTGTGTATCTATACACAGATTACAAATTAAAATCAAAACATAGCTCAAAATAAAATAGTATATATCTAATGCATACTAAGCCTTCGGACAGCCTTAACATAGCTGCGTTCCCTTCATTTTGCCAAATTCTTCAAAAATATGTCTTTGGCAGCATGAAGTCAACTTGGTTAGCAGTTCAGCCAACACTTACCTTCTTTGTGAACTTTGGTGTTTTGATCTCGATAAATGCAGCTTGGACAGCTTTCATGTAGCTCTTCTTAGAACTGAATGTCACTCTCCCACTGCCTGTAATAAGAAAGCAGGAACTTAAAGGAGCCTTCAGATGACTGCATCTTTGATATCATTTTTTTCTGGGGGGGGGGGGAGGGGGGTATTGTCCAAATCTTATTTTGAATTCTTAGAGAAAGGGATTGTACAATATTGCATCAAATCTTAGATTCTATTAACAATAGAAAAGTTCATTTGTCTAAAATTAATCTTGGTCTAAGTTTTTTTATCTAGAGATTCAAAAGTTAATTTATGACCGTCTACTTTTACCTCTTGCAAGTCTCTATAATATATAGATAAAACTGTTTGACCCCAGACTATTCAGGGTATTATTAAAACCATCTCAACCCAACTTGTTCTAACTTTACTGTGTAGATGCAAGATGAACAATTGGGTTGATTTGTATCCTCTTCCACCCATTTTGATGGCACAAAATTGGTAAGGTCCCATTAGCCTTGACTTGGTTATCATTTACTCACCAATAGGGTACTTGTGTTTGTCTGTATCAATACCAGCATACACCACATTGGCAAAGAGATCATTCATGATATTAGCTAGGGCTTCAGCAGTCATCATTCCATGGAGAGCTCCCACAAACACTGTCTTGTTGGAGTCCAGTCTCTGTGACGGCTGGCGTACAAAGTTACTGTCACTAAGGACCCACGGAATTACCTGGACCTGTAGAAGAAAAAAGGTTCCTGTAGGATTGCTTTTGAGTTGAACATATTTACATATTTACACTTTTTTCCTCAGAGGAAATAGCATACTATGCAATTATTATTGTACATGAGCAAACAAGGGTCGTGGATTTCATGGGTCACACCCTTCTAGAATTTACATCCCCACAAACTTTAACTTTGACATCCTTTCAGTTCATTGAATTCTCTGTATATTTGAGTTATCCTAGATATAACACCTCCACTCACAATAAAATTTGGATTCCATACTAGTTAAAATGATTCCACAGTAAAGTACATGGTTTGACAAATCATTTATGGTCAAAATCAGGTCAATCATGTGGAGGATCAGATAACAGGGCTCACTTCACTATACTGACCACAGAGTGGAACATACATTGTACATTGAAACATGGCTTGCACTCCATAATCTCAGGTCAAAATATCTTATGTAAACCCCATGTAAATATGTATTTTTTAAAACAGGGAAGATAACTCTGATCTGGAATATTTAGAAAGTGTTTATCACTAGTTATTTCCCTTTGGCATTGTCCCAGGCAAGGCCATTGACTTAAGGTATTAGGGGTGTAATAGCCATGAGCTTGAATATGACTAAATTAAGCAAAGTTATAATGAACATTTTCAGCAATATTTCCCTTAGTTTCAGCCAATTCTGTCCATACATATTTCTTCTTTCCTTATTAATATAACTGTACCCTCTCACCACTGGTGCACCCTTAATGGACAAAGGGTAGAGATATAAATTTTACCTCTACTCTAGTTAGTCAAAGAACAGTTTAATGTTTCATGTATTCAACTGTAACACTAAGCACTATAGATTGTATATATGCATTCTTTTTAATTCAAATTCATCAGGTATGATATATGAATACTTGTAATTGAGAGAAATTGTCTACTTTTAGTGACAATTTTAGCATTTCTTGTAATAAAACTTTTTATAATATTCTGCCAAAGAAAAATATGGTAGGAAAGATCAATAAAAGAACATTATCAATTTTTTTGTGACATGTATTTGTGATAATATAACAATAACAAAAAATTATTCCATCCACAATTTTTATCTATATTCTACATCATAGCGATATACCCCAAAAAATGTAAGCCATTATTTTTTTGTTAGTGGTATATGGTAGATTATAATGAATGAAATAATGAGCTCCAGCATATATAAATGAGAGATAATTGTCATACTCAATTCACTTCACATTAAATTCAGTTGTCCAGAAAACTGACCTCTTCTCACAGTGACCTTGACCTAGACTAGGGTTTACAAAAATGATCTACATTTTTGAGTTCCCATGTGTATAAAGGTCTTCATAGTTCAGAGTTACTTTACAATGAAGGCTAAAATATTACTGACAAAAACACTGATCAAAAGGTTAAAAAAAAAACTATTGTGTTCCTCACATGTATAAAATAAAATATATATAAATAAATATTTTAAATGCCCCCCCCCCCCCTTTCTAAACTTATGCAGAAAATAAATTTAAAACAAGAGGCCCATGGGCAACATCGCTTACCTGAGCACACTGGCTAGGCAAACGCACAAATCAGTTCAGTATTAAAAAGATAACCGGGGGGGGGGGGGGGGGGGGGGGGGTTTGAATTTTAAACTACCTGATGATGCTTCTGATGCGTCCATGTCAACAAAACAAATGACTTTGTTGTGCTCGAGAAGATTTTAAAAAAACTTTCCCATGTATTCCTATGTAAAAATTTGATCCCCTATTGTGGCTCCTCCCTATCCCAGAGGTCATCATTTGAACAAACTTGAATCTACACTACCTGAGGATGCTTCCATATCAATATGACTAAACATAGCTTTTCTGTTCTTGAGAAGAAATATTTTTTCTATATGTTCTTATGTAAAACTTTCGATCCCCCATTGGACCCCACCCTACCCCCGGGGGTCATCATTTGAACAAAATTTAATTTACACTACCTGAGGATGTTCCATATCAAAATGACTAAACATGATTTTCAGTTCTTGAGAAGAAAATATTTTCCTATATGTTCCTATGTAAAATTTTCGATCCCCCATTGTGGCCCATCTCTATCCCCTGGAGTCATCATTTTAACAAACTTGAATCTACACTACTGAGAATGCTTCCATATTAAAATGACTAATCATGGCTTTGCAGCTCTTCATCAGAAGATATCTTCCTATATATTTCTATTTCAGACTTTGATCCTCCATTGTGGCCCCACCCTACCCCAGGGGGTTATGATTTGAACAAACTTGAATCTACACTACCTGAGGATACTTCCACATAAATATGATCAATCAGGGCTATGCTGTTTCTGAGAAGAAGATTTTTAAAGAATTTTCCTATATATTTCTACGTAAAACTTTGATCCTCCATTGTGGCCCCGCCCTACCCCCGGGGTCATGAACTGAATAAATTTCAATCTACACTACCTGAGGATGCTTCCATATAAATATGACTCATCATGGCTTTGCTGTTCTTGAGAAGAAGATTTTTAAAGGTTTTTCCTATATATTTCTAAAAATTTGATCCTCCATTGTGGCCCCACCCTACCCCCCGAGGTCATGATTTGCTGTTCTTGAGAAGAATATTTTTAAAGGTTTTTCCTATATATTTCTATGTTAAACTTTGATCCTCCATCATGGCCCCGCCCTTCCCCCAGGGGTCATGATTTCGACAAACTTGAATCTACACTACCTGAGGATGCTTCCACTTAAATATGACCAATTAGGGCTTTGCTGTTCTTGAGAAGAAGATTTGTAAAGGTTTTTCCTATATATTTCTATGTAAACCTTTGATCCTCCATTGTGGCCCCTCCCTACCCCCAGGGGTCATGATTTGATCAAACTTGAATCTACACTATCTGAGGATGCTTCCACATGAGTTTCATCTTCCCTGGTTTTGTGGTTCTTGAGAAGAAGATTTTTAAAAGATGCTATTAATTTTTCACTAATTCTTTATTATCTCCCCTTGAAAGAGGGCATGGCCCTTCATTTGAACAAACTTGAATCCCCTTCACCCAAGGATACTTTGTGGCAAGTTTGGTTGAAATTGACCCAGTGGTTCTTGAGAAGAAGTCGAAAATGTGAAAAGTTTACAGACGGACGGACAGACGGACTACAGACAAAATGTGATCAGAAAAGCTCACTTCAGCCTTCGGCTCAGGTGAGCTAAAAAACACACACATAAAATTCACCCTGACCTTACCCAGAAAAAATTATTTGTTCCCATAACTGATATTTTTTTTCTTTAAAGTTGTAAACATATAATTACATTTTTTTTTTTCACTGATATGTATAATTTTAATCTTCTCAGATATTTTACGTATGATCACTGAACGTCACTTTAATGTATGTTGCATGAGTTACATGATAGGTATTTTCAGTCTGTTTTGTAAATTATTTTGCTAGAAAATCATTGATATTACACAAAACCTGAGAATCATTTCAATTTGCATGGCCACAGGTTTGCACATGTCAACGTAAATACATCTATAGCATGCATTATATGTAATATCGGTCCAATATCGTAAATTGCAGATTCTACAACACAAGCAATACTATTTATATTATTACATACGGTATTCTCCTCAAACTGTTTGCTGAGAATCACAAAATCGCAATGCAAATGTAAAGTTTTTAAGAATGGTATATACTTCGTTCGTTTTTCGAAATCGGGGCTAATTTTAGAAGTTGGAAAAACCCATGTAGTGTGTATATGAAGACAACATCGTTTTGACTGCATATTTTGTCTAACCAAATTAAAAAACGTGTTTTCTATTTAACATATCAATTCTTTCCTCTGATTAGTTATATTCCTTTCCTCTGGTGTATTTTTTATGATAGCGTCCTCGGCCGTCTTGACGACGCACCATTTTTGTTTACGAAGGTGGATGTTCCGAAAACTGCCAATGTCAAACACCTCGGCATTTTAACCGGAAGTGGCCTATTACACATCTAATACCTTAATGTCTTAAAGTAAAACTTTTCCTAATAAATTTTTTTTAATTCCATTTTTTTCAAATAATCTTTTATTTCAATTGTATGAACTTTTGACTTCTTTTGTCGTTATAATTTGATGAACTTAATAATTTGATGAACTTAATAATTTGATGAACTTTGACCTGTTCTATTTTATTAACCTAATGAACTCTGACCTCTTTTGCTCTCATCCTTCTGCTGGATATTTTGAAGTAGTAGTCTCCACTGCTGAAGTCATGAGTGCAGTCCTGTAACAGACCCCTGACAGCCTTCTCTGATTCAAACAATAGGTACACGTAACCTGTAAACACAGAAAGACGTAACCTGTAAACACAGAAAGACGTAACCTGTAAACACAGAAACATGTAACCTGTAAACACAGAAACATGTAACCTGTAAACACAGAAACATGTAATATGTAAACAAGGAATTTTAAAATGAGTGAGTACATCCTGTGAACCTGTTAATACAAATCAGGAATTTTATTTTTGACCTGGGTCAGAAATTTAAAAGTTAGATTTGATTGACCCAAAATTTTACACACTTTACTTGGATCAGGAATTCCACAATTTTGAGTTGAATTAATCAGGATTACTGCAAATTTGACTCTGATTAGGAATTCCCAAGATTCAATCAGTAGAAAGTATAAACACTTACCGTCTTTCCCCGGCCACTCGATCTTGAATGATCCAAACTTCATAAAGGCGGACTGTAGACCAGCTGTCAAAATAATAAATAAAAGATTACAATCCAAAGGTGACAATTTTCTTAAAGCCTTTATGTTCTGGGACTTCTTTCTATACAGTGCAATATATTGTTTTCTAGAAGGGTGAGACAAAAATACTAGACAATATTTGTCTTTATATTAAGATACATTTTGTTATGCAAAGACTACTTCTGTAAAGAAACATAAGGCAATGATACACTCTTTAACTGTCTATGAATTACATCTCTAAGAAATTTCACAAAAAGTTTGCACATCTTCAGTGAAGTCTCAGAGCATATTGAAGAAGAGAACTCTATTAAAACCAATTTCAAGCACCTACCCTCAGTGAAACCACAGGTTTTATATCCCCTCCAACAAAGTCTACACATTAACCAATCTATACTTCCCGTATGTATCATAAACCCCCCACCTCCAATTGAAAATTATTGGTGATATCCCTGGGTATACCCTTAAGGAAAGCTATGTTTTCTCTGACAATTACCGTAAGTCATACATGTATAAAGAGTATGCTCCCCCCCCTAGGAACTTCAAAATTTGACACTTACCCTCAGTCATATCCTCTGAATCTTGAAATATACCCTGAAGTTATATCCTCTTGAAACATTTAACTTAAACATTTACCCTTAATTGCATCCTCTTGGAATATTAGGCATTGACACTTTCCCTGAATTATATCCTTTTGGAACTTTAAACTTTGACGTTATATCCTCTTGTAATATTAAGCATTGACACTTACCCTGAGTTACAACCTTTAGAGTACTTACCCTCAGTGATGTCCCAGGGGACACCCCTAGGAAAACTTTACAGGAGTAGGTGGGGTTTTTGTAATTCTTCTGGGGGAGTTGTCCACTCCAGGTACATGTGGCTTCACACATTGCTGAAAACATATATCTATTGGTTACTACAAGTTCTACACAAATACACAACCTGAGAAAGGTCCATCAGTGCAATTTGCTTCAAACCCCTTCTATAAGATGTAATAATTTGAGACTTTATGTACACATAATATGTCACCTATTGGCCACATATAGTCTAGACTAATGAAATGAAATTCCAAAGGACTCAAAATTTACCAGATGAAACTGAATGTAACATATTTTTTTTCTTTACAAATTAAGCTACTGTAATCAATCTACATACTAAAAAGAAAAAGGATTTGCTATAGATCTTTACATTGATTAAACCAACAGTTTTCTCACCAGCAGCATTCCTATGTAACCTTGCCGCCCGGTCAATAGCGTAGGGGTCAGTGCTGGCCATCAGGAAAGGGTTGACCACACTCCCGTAAGTCGTCCTAGCCTGGGGTATGACCTGACTCAGGGCACTGGCATTCTCCCGGACCACTTGTTGCTGCTGTTGCTGCAGCTGTGCATTGTAGATCTGTGCAGCAACATCCTGTGCTGTTGATTGTTGCTGGGGTTGCTGGACTCTGTTCCCTAAATTCAGTGTGTTCTACAACAAAGAAGATGATGTTGCTTTCCAATAAATATCTGATATGCATTGTCTACTCTATATCCATGCAGATTTTTTTACTGGTTTTTCTGTACTAGCATATCACTAATTGTTTGAACTGTTCAAGATGGCTGTTGTCCACATTTGTACATCAACCAAAATCAATACTACTGTATTCATTTGTACCAATCTAGTATTTAGAACTGTACATGTAACATTGTCCGAGACATTTAATTACAATGATGCACATAAATTTATAGGCATTATCTCGAATCATTTCATCATCTATATTGTCTATGCAGAAAATTCCAAAATTGATGTTTCCTGATAATGATTAAGGTGATAAAGAGTCCTATTACTGTATACCATCATAACAGTTTGTCACATATCACTTAACATCTAAGAGGGCTGCCTCTGTCGTCTGACTTTTTCTTAATAACTTACTATGATCATACCTATGAGGGCTGCCTCAGACATTTTCTTTATCACTTACCATCTTTGAGGCTGCCTCTGACTTGTTCATTACCTACCATCATATTCATGAGGGTTGCCTCAAACTTTTTCTTTATAACCTACTAACGTATCCAGGAGGGCTGCTTCTGTTCAGTAGATTCTTTCTAACTTACCAACTATAGCGGCTGCCTCTGAATTTTTCTTATCACTTACCATCACAATATCTATGAGGGCTGCCTTAGACCTTTTCTTTATCACTTACCATCATATCCATAAGGGCTGTTTCAGGCTTTTTCTTTATAGCTTACGATCATATGTATGAGAGCAGCCTCTGGCTTTTTCTTTATAAATTACCATCATATCTATGAGGGCAGCCTCTGACTTTTTCTTTTTATAACTAATACCATCATATCTATGAGGTCAGCCTCTAGGTTTTTCTTTATAACTTACCATCATATCTATGAGCGCATCCTCTAGGTTTTTCTTTATAACTTACCATCATATCTATGAGCGCAGCCCCTCTAAGTTTTTCTTTATAACTTACCATCATATCTATGAAGGCTGTGTCTGGTTTTTTCTTTATAACTTACCATCATGTCTATGAGGGCTGCCTCGGACCCTTCACTACTGATACCACTGGTGTCAGAGTCGCAGGGGGAGACACTCCTTGTCTGTTTGTTTCCCTGCTGCATGATGCTTGAGTAAATCATCTTCTCCACAGGGGACAAACCACCCTCATTCTGTGGACTTTGTGGGGACAGGGTTCCATAGTCACTGCTAAAATAAGATACAAAAGACCTTGTGTAATTTTGGAGGGATATCATCTTGCAAGATTGACTAGAGCCGCTTAGAAAATAGAAAGTTCAGTAAGTACATGTATTTCAAAACAAACGTCAAGTATGAAAGTATTCCAAAGGAATTTCTAAGGACTGCATATTGATTTATACTCATTGTCTTAGTAATCCATGCATTACAAAGTTAAAGTCTAAAACAAAATCTTAGTACTGTAAACCAACTATTATTCGCATGCACTTTTATTCGCAATTCGTCAGTTTGAAATCAATCCGCGATGATTAATTTTTGCGACTGAGGAAACATTCTCTACAAATACAAAGCAAAATAAATGGTTCGTGGCGATTAATATTCGCGAGATGAAGTAGGTCGCAAAACTTGGGAATATTTCTTGCACGCGAATAAAAGTTGGTTTACAGTACTTCTTGGTCCAAATGTCATGCTACATCCACTGGTACTGTTAACAATACGTATGTCTAACAAGAGTTTTAGAAATCTCTGCATCACACTTCCGAGTAATACTTCTTGTCTTTGTGACCTTGAATTGGTCCTATGACAAGGGACAACTTACATTTTAGTAGCTTCGGATCTATACTTGTTTAGGCAGTGCTTGGTGTGAGTGCTGTCTCCATAATTAGGGATTCGTGGCCTGGGATACTTACCTGTTAGGAGTACCAGGACTGCCTTTGATGGCTCGGGATTGTTTAGAAGGAGTTGTATACATGTCCTATAGGAGTAAGTACCATATCCATAATTAGGGATTTGTGGACTGGGATTACTTACCTGTTGGGAGTACCAGGACTACCCTTGATTGCTCGGGATTGTTTAGGAGGAGTTGTATACATGTCCTTATAGGAGTGAGTACCATATCCGTAATTAGGGATCTGGGGCTGAGGTTGTCCCGAGTGAGCAGCATGTGTTGAGTGAGCAGCATGGGATTGATGTGAGCCCGAAGCATTCTGGGATTGAGTTTGAGCCTGGTTTGTGTTGGCTACAGAGAACAGCTGAAACCCTGTGATTAAAGATTAAAAAATGTATGATGTACATTGTGAAAAAAATGGAGTTAAACATTAAGCTTTTAAATCATTCAAGTGACTCTGTACAGAAACTACAATGAACCATAAGTCCATGCATTTAAATTTTTTAATGTTACTTTTCGTCAAGTAATGTTACCTGTTGCTGTATACTTTGTGTACCCAATTCAATGCAGTTAATAATGTTACATGTATCTTCAAAATTAATTTTTTAAGTACAGTCAAACTTCATTATCTAGTCAGAACTCAGTGGATTACCTAGAAAAAACTTTGGGATATCTAAGGATTCTAGACAAGTTAAAACACATAAAGTAAGAGTGACTGGGACTTCATATTGACTTTGACATATCCACATCCATGGTACATGTATTTGACATATCCGCGTTCAAGATACCAAAGTTCAACTGTATGTTTACAATATGTTTACCCCACAATTATCCTGATAACTACATTAATATGATACAGTGCTTGTTTCCTGTAAGATTCAATTAGATTTTTTACCTGGGTAAGGGTTACTGGAGTATCCCTGTCCTGTCCCATAAGCCCCGGCTGTACTCTGATACGCAGCGTTTGTAGAATATACACTGTTGTATAACTGTTCGTAGATATTTGGGGTGGGGTCCTGATGGGAACGAACTCCCATCTGGTGAATTGTTTCTATAAATAAACAGAACTATTTGAATCATGGCAAATCAAAATTTGTATTCTAAAGATGTATTACATACAAGAAAAAAAAAATTAAAAATTAAAAGTATTCAATAAATATGATTATTTTAATTACCGTAACACAAAAAATTGAGTGAAAACAACTTTTCATGGAAGAATAATTCAAAATCTTGATGACATGAAGAGGTGAGTAAAAACATAGGAACTCATTTGTTTTTTTTTTTATTTGTTAAGTAAATTGTTCCTTTCCAACTGACAATATTTCATTCCATTTATAAGATGTGTAAAGAGTATCTATGAACATCTGCAACTTTGTCAAAAGTTAATAAGTCTTGTCAGTTCTTATTTTTACAACTTTTCTAGTTCAGCTGTCTATCAAAATGGGATTACTCAAAAAAGAAATAGGGTTATTTTCTTGTGCCAATTTAGTAAATATATATTCATATTTAATTTTTCCTTACTGAAAAGCAAAGAATTAATGTTAAACTTGTGTCTTATTGAATATAACAGTACAAGTCTGCAATAACTGTTTATTTATATCAAGAGGCCCATGGGCCACATTGCTCACTTGAGCACTTTGAATAGATAAAAACAGATTGAAATCTATTCAGTATTGAAAAGTTTAAATAAATAAGTAGTCTCAACCTTTCCCCAAAAAGGGGGGATGATTTGAACAAACTTGAATCTTCACTAACTGAGGATGCTTCTGTATTTCTTTGATTAATCAAGGCTTTAGAAGATCTTTAAACATTTTTTCCTATAAGTTTGATCTTCTATTGTGGCCCAACCTCTGGGGGTCATGATTTGAACAAATTTGAATCTACACTACCCGAGGATGCTTCTGTATAAATATGACCAATCACGGCTTTGCAGTTCTTAAGAATAAGATTTTCAAAGATTTTTCCTATATATTCTTAGTATGTAAAGCTTTGATAACCCACTGTGGCCCCTTCCTACCCCAAGGGGTCATGATTTGAACAAACTTGAATCTACACTACCTGTGTAGATTATGCTTCCATATAAATATGACCAATTACTGTCCTGTTGTTCTTGAGGAGGTTTTTAAAGATGTTTCCTATGCATTCGTATATGAAACTTTGATCGTTTACTGTGGCCCTGCAGCCCCTGCCCTAACCCCAGGTATCATGATTTGAAGAAACTTGAATTTACACTACCTGCGGATACTTCCATGTAAATACATGCATGACCAATTATTAGCTTGTTGTTCTTATTAAGAAGAAGATTTGTTTAGAGATTTCCTATGTATTCCTTTGTAAAACTTTAATCATCGATTGTGGCCCTTTCCTAACCCCAGGGGTCATGATTTGAAAATACTCGAGTCTACACTACCTGAGTATGCTTCCATATAAATACAACCAATTATTGCCTTGCTGCTCTTGAGAAGATTTTTAAAGATTTTTCCTTTGTAAGACTTTGATCACCCATTGTGGTCCAGCCCTATAGACAACCTGAGGATGTTTCCATGCACAGGTAAGTTTCATCATCCCTGGCCCAACCTTTCTTGAAAAGAAGATGCCATTAAGATGCAAATAATTTTTAATTAATTTGTAATTATCTCCCCTTGGAAGAAAGCATGGTCCTTCATTTGAACAAATTTGAATCCCCTTAACTCACAGATACTTTGTGAAAAGTTTGGTTAAAATTGGCGTAGTGGTTCTTGAGAAGAAATTGAAAATGTGACAATCTTACTGAAGGACAGACAGACAGAAAACAGACAGACACCAGACAAAATGTGATCAGAAAAGCTCACTTGAGTCTTCAGCTCAGGTGAGCTAAAAACCATGTAAGAACTCAAAAGGAAATCCTATACAAAATGATACCCGAAAATTATGAAAATAAATATAACATAAAATCTTATTTAGTTTGGTCGATCACTTGCACAAACTCCCATTTTGATTGGTCTGTATAGGAAAATAAAACTCGCGTTTTGATTGGTCTGTGAAGGAGAATAAACTCACGTTTTGATTGGTCAGGAGGAACTGCAGTGGGGCCCATCTCTGTAATGTTCAGAGATCCATGGAGCATTGCGTTGATGTTCTTCCAGATGTCAAAGTTACTAGCATACTTTATACCCTCCGGCTGATGATCAAAGTCCTCCACCTTAATAGACGGAACTTCTGAATTCTGAAGTAGTAAACAAAGGTCCTGAACATCACAATTAAAAATCACAGGGACTGGGTGACATGAAGTTTAACCTTTAAAATATACAGGGGTATAATCCCCCACCCCCAACACACACAAACTTATGAACCTAAAATAAAGATGTAAACATTTCCAGTCTGCTTAGAAGTCAAGTTGAGACTTAAGAAACCTTTCACTAGCACTGGATTTTTTTCACAAATTTTCTGAAAATGTGTTTTTAAACATTTAAATGGTGGGGCAAGTCAGTGGCTAGGAAGTTTTTCATTGTACACCGATTCACTCCTGGAGTAATTATCAACATCTTTATTCTTGAAATGTAAAAATTGTTTTCCAATTGTTTTTGCATATTGTCTCATTGAACATTGAAACATTATGTTGAAACATATATTGTATAATTTTTAGTTCAGTATTCAGTGTTTTATGAAACCACAAAAATGTCTAAAGTTGGCTAAAAAAAAAGAACATCTGTTTTTCAAACAAGTACCTCTAGATTTCGATATTGCATTGTCAGTGTTTTTCACACCAAAATAACCGACAATCAAATAGAAATGGGTTAATAATAATTTTATTCAGTGTGCACAATCTACCATATTGAAGAGGGAGATAATAATCAAAAGGCATCGTGTATATGACATAAAAAAGTATTTTTCAATCATGAACTTTCACTTGTCCAAATACCTTATTCAAGAAATGCTTAGTGTTGCTTTTTATGAATGAAAACTTTCCCACGGTGTCACTTTAGTGCAAGCTGTCAATTTCTTGCAGAAAACAAAATTATAATTACTGTGGAAGAGTAAAGTTTTGTCTGAACACAACGACTGAGTTGTTTAAAAAAAATAGTTCTAAAATTTTTGCAGAAACTCACCAATGCCGACATTTTGACATAAAATTGCACGTGCCTACTTTATAAATCGGTCGACCTCCAAACTCCACGACAACTTTCCTCCTGACCAAAACTCAGCAAAAGTGAGCTCAATTTATACCGTGACGTCGCTCTGTCAAAAATGTAAATCTCACCTGTTGATTGGTGTTGATTCCTCACTCAATTTGCATATGAAATCTTCTCAGGTAACTACCTCGTCGCGCTGTTTGTAATCAGAGCCAAGTGTCCCGTGCTGTGACGTCACAGGATGCGTCCATCTTCCAACAAAGGGATGCAAGGCACTGTGCCGAGTTTGCATGTTCTTTTAACAAACATTTGAAATGAATAGAAGGTTACAAATAAAAAAAAATTATGTACACACACGTACATAGATCTACGGCGGTGATCCTCATATAAATAGATGTCAATTATTACAACAATCCCATGCGGTTAAGCACTTTGAGACAAAAAAACAGAACAAAACAAAACAAAATAAAAAAAAATATGTTTTCTGTTTTTGTAGAATTTTTCATGTTTTTAGGGCTAAAGTTTAGAAATTTTATAACTAATTATGGACAGTTTTAGAGATTTAAATGGACTTATCTTCGCAAATTTGACAAAAAAGAAACCTACAAAAAATCTTACAACTTAAGGACAGGACCGGGGGGGGGTCTAGTTATTGGTCTTGAATGTTTTTAATATTAGGCCTACTGTACATGTATATCTTAAAAAAAAGCTGTCGTCAGGATTATAAAAAAGGGTTTGAGAGGGCTGCACGTGCCCTGCCAGAAGCCAGAATTTATCTTTAAATGGGTACAATTTTGGGTGGTGTCCAGGCACACAGTATCGGGGGGGGGGGGGTACAGAAAAAAACAAACAACTTACGGTACCTGAAAAAAATTGGTCAAGCCAAAAAAAGGAAAATGTCCAAAACCCTATTACGTGATTTGTTCAAACTTCAGGGGCCCGTTTTACAAAAGAACTAACAACTAAGACCAAAATCACATTCTGCTTATAACTTTCTAATTTCCATTAACTTGAAAATGGTTTTAATCTTTTTAAAAGGAATGTAGAAAGATATTTGTACACTAGAAATTTTAAACAAAATCATTAATTTTGCAAAATTTTACAATCAACTGATGTTTCTGGTCTTAGTCGTAAAGGCTATAACTTTTGACATCACTTTCTAAATTTCACAGCGTCTATAAATTTACAAATCTGTGAATAGGGCATAAAACAAAAATCCTGGAATTTTCAGAAAGAACTCAGGTGGATAGGACGTGTAAGCATCCCCTGTTGACCGGTCACACCCGCCGTGAACCCAATATATTGACCAGGTAGGCAGAACATTCCGTAGTCAAATTCAGTATCAAAACAAAGCAAAAGTCTTATAATTGGTTTGAATCACATTGGCCAAAATAGATCCAATGATCATGATAGGTAATATTTTTGAAAAAAGTCAATATAGGGACCAAGTTAGGGCTATATGCAATATTAAAATATCGATATTCCGGTATATTGCGATTCGTTAGCATACAATATCGTATTGCGATATTTTTTTTTCAGTGCTTGGGTTTAAGATTTTTTTTAAGTAAATGTAAAATTTAATATGTAGTAGGAAACGTTTTCAAACATGACAAACAGTAAAGTTGTTGTTGTATGGTTGCATTTTGTTGCAAAACTGTAGTGAAGTCAGTAAGAACTTTCAGGTGACGACATATTTATAATAGTTACATTCATTCTGTTTATAAATGGAGGTTAAGAAAATTAGAAAATAGCAATTTAACTGTTATTGAAAATATTGCAATATATATTGCAAAAAAGATATCGCAACATATTGCAATACGAAATTTCCAGCCGATACCCAGCCCTAGCGACCATACAAATGTAGAATTTATGTACATGCTGACTTTAGACAACTTGAATTTGCTGAAATCACTTGAACATTAACTTATCTGTCAGTAACATTCCTCTGCTTAAAAATTTATCGCACTCGGAGCACGCCCTTGAGTTTCGAATAAGTTAGTTTATTATATGATTGAATAATTTCCCTCTTTCTGATTGGCTGAGATCCAACAATGTTAGAAAAATACTACGTTATATTGACCTACACGTGACCTTCCAGGTCAATATAAGGAATTATTGCAGGTCAATATAATGAATCACGTGACCTTCCAGGTCAATATAAGGAATTATTGCAGGTCAATATCATGAATTATTCCTGTTCCATTTTTTCATGTTACAATGTGTTCTTGTTGAAATTTCTCGTTAAAACTTTCAATTAAAGCAAAGAAAACAGTCTTGTAGGAGTTTGCTATCATTTAATCATATAATAAAACAGTTATTGCTGTTTTTTGAGGTCAACACTATGATTTAGACACCGAATATTGTACTCCCCAGGTGTCTAAATCATCGTATTGACCTCAAAAACCAGCAATAATTGTATAATATGCAAAGATCATACACAGGTCATTACTTCATAAATAAGGAAAGTTGATGTTGTAAAGATGAACAGATGAAGATAAAATTATCTCGCTTCTGACACAATTTAGTTGGCCCTTGTCGACTAAAGTCGGTAAACTTTCAAATATTAAACAGTTGTGGCAGACTCTGTGGGGTCTTTTATTTAACGTTCACTGGGATATATCGAATCGACATATCAATTAAATGAAACATAGAGATAACGAACAGTATTCAAGCTGAAAGCATTTGAATAATACAATCTGGAAGCAGAGCGAACACAGACCCCCCAAAACATCAGAGGCGGGATCAGGTGCCAAGGAGAAGTATGCACTTGTCGACCGTTCACACCGTCGACAAGTACATACTCTCCTTGGCACCTGATCCCTGACACCCGCCGTGTGCTCTTTATCATGATTAGGTAAACGAAAAAAAATCTTAGAAATTTCAGCGTGTAAATAATGGCCTAACGATCAGTGTGAAAAATGTCAGTCAGCATATACATGTATATCACTACTGGCGTTCGAAACCCCGGCATTTGACCTAATGATAGATATTTATATGTATTTGTTGATAGGGTTATTGCATCGACCATAGAAATTGCAAAATGTTGCTTCAAACTACACTTGTTATTCTTGTTTCATCAATTTGTTGGTTAAAAGCTTACCTCTTTAAAAAACTGTTTATACGTCATGTACGTAGAGCATACTCTTGCGTACCGAATCAACCGAGAGATAAAATCTCTTATGCAGATAATAAGGGTAAAATGCTACATAAATAAGGGAGGGTGGCGATAGAAAAGTTGAGGTCATCACGTTTATCATAAAGTTTGGATGTTAGGTTACCATTAATGTATTTTTAAGAAAAATATCCAAATATGAAACAGATGTGTCAGACTTTGTGGTATCTTTTATTTCAAGCTCACTGGGATATTTCGAGTTGACATATGAATGGAAGTAACTATTGTTAATTGATAAATGTCGAGTTAGAGTCCATAGCAAGTGTTTTCTTCCTCTCGTATACAATTTTTAAATAAATGCTGCTTCATATAAATACAAAAATTGGTCAGCTAATGAGGGAACGCAATTTGTACCCATGGAAATTCTGACAGATTGTTGTAGTACCTGATCTCTCGATCTCTCGGTCTCTCTCTCTCTCTCTCCAAAAAGAAAAAAAAATTACTTGGGATTTTCGATCAGAAACTCAACCATCTTTTTAATAATAACTTCAGAGTACTTGTGTGTACAATCTAAATGTTTTTTTAAAAAATAATTTTGTAAATGACTAATGGCATGGTAAGTAATTTACTGCTTATAGAAGCCTTCTCCGATTTATTCCTTTTATTTTAATATACCCTTATTACCTGCATATGGAGTTTATATCTTCCAATTGATTTGATATCAAGAACATGCTGTCCATACGAACGATTTAAAAAAAAGAGGCACACTATTGGCAAACAAGTTGATGAAACAAGGATAACAACAGCCTTGTTTAAAATCAACGTTTCGCAAGTTCTATGGTTGATACAACGACCTTGTCAGCAAATAAATCTATCATTAATCGAATGCTGACAAACGTTTTTCATACTAATTGTTAGCCCATTATTTACACACTGAATTTTCAACGGATTTTCCATTTGCCCGATCATGACAAAGAGCACAACAGTGGGCGTGACCGTCGACGAGAATGTTTACTACTCCATGGCACCTGATCTCGCCTCTGATGTTTTTAGAGGTCCTTGTTTACTCTGCTTTCAATTTGTATTATTTCAATAGACTTTTGAGTTTGATTACTTTTCGTTATTTTCATATTTCATTTCAATTTGTTTATTATTTTTAGTTTACTTTACTGGTACTACATGAAATAAATTACAATTGTAGCTACAGTGGAACGGGATATATTAAAAAATTAGACACAGTGATGTACAGCAAATAAATTGATTTAAATGTTCTAGGCCATTGAGTTTTTTAAACACGCCTGTATACTGAATGGCTATTGATTTTTTTTTTGTGAATGCCAAACGATATTTAAAATTTTTGTTAGCATTGGAGACGAACATCTCTTTTCATGAAGACCACTTGTTATTAACGGAACTATCTGTAGAAAAAAATGGATGTTTATACAGTAAAGAAAACAAGGAAAAGTGAGAATTTGAACTAAAATATGTAAACAATAATTGTGTGTTGTTCCACACAATGTATATGTCACCGGCGTGTCTTCTTCTTATGAACTTTTTTGATATATATTGATTTGAATCGATACTATACTTTACATTATCTATTTACATATTAACTTTGTTTTTAAACGCTGTACTAATTGTTCCCTTAAAATATTTAATGAATTGTAAATGGAACCTAGAAAAGAAATCGCCTCCTCTCGCTCTCTCTCTCTTTCTCTCTCTCCCTCTCTCTCTCTCTCTCTCTCTCTGTGGTAGGGTGGATGTGTGTGTGTGTGTAATAAATTATCATATCAATTACGTTTGTTTAAAAGTGTGTGTCTTGTTTAAACCTAGCAAAACAACGATTGCAAAATTATGTTATACTTTTTAATTTAAATACATGATAGACAGAAGACAAGGAGTGGTAGAGAATTTTAAACAGGCACTACAAGTGAATATTACTTTTTGACTTTTGTCTGAATATTTCATTAAAATATATGTTATTCTTTTCAACGATTAAAATAAGAATGTATTGACATCGATCCTTTTTGGCATTCATTTTCAGCTTATATATCTATTAAATCTTACATTTTTACTTTTTTTAAATTTACACTCTCAATTGTGCTTGAGCTTAATGTTGTTGAATTTGAATAATTGAATTTGACGTTACATAAGATCTATGCAAAAAGAATGAATTAAGAACGGAAAAAGTTTGGACAAAGTTTGTAGCATTTTAAACTTATAATCCAATCAATGAGATATGGAGATAACGAATATAAATGAGGATCAAAGCAAACTCGGACCTTTAAACGAGACTGTTGATATTCATGTTTTATCAACTTATCTGTCAAAAGTTTGCCCCCTTTTTTTAAAGAAATTGTTCGCAAGTAGAGTATGCTCCTGAATATCAAATCAACTGATGGACATAAACCCCAAATGCAGATGATAAGGGTATACTGCTACATAAGTAAGGGAATCTAACGATTGAAACGTTAATTGAGGTGATCATGATTATCATAATGCTTTCTTGGTATAGGTTAGCATTAACGTCTTTTTCTAGAAAAATGTCCAAATATGAAACAGATGTGCCAGACCTTCCCCAGTTTGTAAATTGTTAATCTGTCGTCGATATATCTTAATGTCGAGTTGAAGACCACAGCAAATGTTTTCTTCAGGGACGCTATATGGGAAATTACGATGAAATGGACATAACACTGTTATATACCTTATTACGGAACATATGTAGCATACCGCCCCACTCAAAAGGCTGGGGCAATGATCCTGACCCACGTGACGCATCGGTGTCTGCTAGTATCGAGAGAATTCGAATTGGTCGTAACGACTGTGTACATTCCTCGAGTCCTTCCCTCTCTCATGCTGAATTCAATCGTATATGGTCAAGTGTCAGGTCATCAGTGGTGATGTTGGATACCTTTCTCGGGAACAACAATCGATATGAAAAAAAGGTTGACTTCCTACGTCACGAGACAATGGATCCTTTGAATGATCGTTTTTACAGGGAGGAACTACTTAAACAGGCAGCAGAGGATCAGACAACGCGGGCAATGGTCGTTAATCTACTAAGTATGATTTATTTAATCCTCAAATTATGGATAATTCTATACGGTCATTACCATATATTTTAAAAAATCTAATGGAATTTTATCATAAATTCAAAAGACGTTACTGTATGGTTAATATACTGTCTTAAAATATGAAAAAATGTGACAAATTAGTGTTTTCTGTTTTATATCATTATGATCATGTTGAACGTTGGATTTATGTGTGAAATGCAAAAAAAAAAAAAAAAAAAAAAAAAAAAAAATGTCGAAGAGATTTTAAATGCGTTAACGTCTTCGTCTCGTTTATAGGCAATTTGTCAAAGCTGAAGAATACTGCCATTCCTGCAAATGTTAAAGGTATGATAATCGCCCAATTAAAATAATATGCGCTAGAACTGTTAAGCATATCTTTGCTTACTTTCTAATTTAAATGAGAAAATGTAATTTTTAGCATTATATTTCTTACAAATTATTTGAGGCTAAAGCAGACAATTCACAGTCTTAAGAGAAAAAAAATAAGTTTTGGTCTCTTTAAAAATTCAAAGAATAATACTTTTAAAAAATACTTCTCATTGTTTGCAACAGTGCCTTTTTCGTTTCAGTTATTCATGAAAATGAAATTAAAAGATGGCAAGAAAACGACAACTTATACCTGGAGACACACAGTTTTTCTTCTACAGTACCTGGCCATAATACAGTACGCAAAATGGACGCCGTTAAAATTAAAATTAACATACAATGTTTTTCCTCTTCATTTTATCGATTGTAATATGATAAAAAATAATGACAACTACACACATCCATACATGAACGTCATATCTGACGTCACACACATAGGAAGTTCCGTAGATTTATTCTTAGTACCATAACATACGTAAATCAAAATGGCTCCGAGGGGGAAAGACCTTTCACTCGAGCAAAAGCAGACGATAATTAAATTGAATGAGAGTGGTTTAAGTAGCCGGAAAATTTCGGAAATTATCGGAATAAGTCCAAATTCCATACAGAAGGTTGTAAAACGAAATGCTGAAAGGGGTTCCGTGGAAAACAGAGAAAGACCGGGAAGAAAACGATTGGTGGGCGAAAGAGGTGATCGCGTCTTGTCAAGGTTGGTGAAGAAAAATCGTCGACAGACTCTGTCAGATTTAACTGATAAATTTAACGAATCTGTACCACAGAAAGTGTCTAATAGAACTGTAAGAAGGAGATTAAAAGAACAGAAATATCAAAGATGCTCCGTTTCAAAGAAAATAACAATCTCGAAACCAAATCGCCAAAACCGTGTTTTGTGGTGTCGATCCAAATTAGGGTGGACAGTGGAGGAAAACTAAAGTCAGGTCATTTTCAGTGATGAGATGAAAGTTGTTTTAGGAAAGGATAGAAAAATTTACGTCTGGAGAAAACCTGGAGAAAGATTTCAACCCGATTGTCTTGGACAGTATAGTAGTCATTCGCCCCGCTCCGGCATATCGGCTATGTTCTGGGGGTGTTTATCTTTTAATGGTGTTGGAACTTTGACTGAAGTAGAAGGAAATATAAACTCCGAGAAATATATTTCGGTCCTAGATTATCATTTGTGGCCTCTTGTTGCAAAGGAGTTTCCTGCAAGTCCCTGGATTATACAGGAGGATAATTGTCCGGTGCACCAGTCCAAACAGACGGTTGAATGGAAAACGACGAACAACATCCCTACACTTACCTGGCCTAGTCAATCACCAGACATTAACATAATTGAAAATGTGTGGAGGACAATTAAGATCAGATTAGAACATCGCATGGACGAAATTAAAAAACGCGAAGACCTAGTGCGTATTGTGAAGGACATATGGGCCTCTATCGATTTGGAGACGATTAGAAAACTGTACATATCAATACCAACACGATTACAAGCTGTTATAAAAGCAAAAGGTTACATAACCAAGTATTAGTAAGGTAGGATAAATTTTTATTATATATCAATTTGAAAAAACAACATTCAAAACTGCAAGTGTGCACGTATATTTTTATAACGGCGGCCATTTTGCGTACTGTATTATGGCCAGGTACTGTATGTTGGAAAAAGTACGAAAGGAGTCCTATATAACGTTTGTTGGTGTTCCAGGTTCTGGAAAGTCTGCCACGGCTTACCACATCGCACTGAAGCTTCAGGAAGAGGAAGACTATGAAATAGTACCCGTAACAGAACTGAGGGATATTATTCAGTATTGTGACCCTCATAATGCACAGGTTTTTATCATTGATGATGTGATAGGTGTGCTTGGGGTCCAAAATGAAAAACTCAACCTTCTCGTAGATTACAGAGAGAAAATTAAAAGTCCTTATATGGGTAAATCAAAAACTCTCATGACATGTCGTAAATCAGTATACAATGAAGTCCTCAGACGTACCTGTGTATCCTTTCTGAGACAGGAAAAAAATGTAATAAGCCTCCAACATTCCGATAACATGCTCTCTACTGAAGACAAGAAAAACCTGCTTCAGAAATACGGAATAAAAACAGAAATACAAACACCTGAAATGCTTACAGACGTATCACAAATGTTTCCACTTCTTTGCAGGCTATATTCTGAGGGAGATACGTTTAGAAAGATTGGTGCAAACTTTTTTATCACACCAGTTCCATGCATTCTTAAAGAATTAAACAAAATGCAAAGCGAAAATAAACTTCAATATGCAACATTAATACTGTGCATGATTAACAATAAAATTCTTTCAAGGGACATTTTGAAAAGGAACGATGTCATTTTCAGTGAAATTAAAAGAAATGTTTTGGAGAATTGTGAAGTGGAGAGTTGTACGGACACATTTAAATTTTTGAATGCACTGGCAGCCATGGAGGGTACATATACCAGACGAAATGGTGAAGAGTATACATTTTTTCATGACCAGTTGTATGAAATAACTGCTTGGCATTATGGAAGAAAGTATCCGAGGGATATAGTTAACTGCATGAGTAGTAGCTTTATTGCTAACTTCGTAAAAACGAAACAAAACATACGGAGCAGTGAAAGTCATGGACGTAAACCTGGCGTTATGAATGAAGATAAACTTTCCATAGTTTTACCATGTGATCTCTACCCATTGTTAGCCAGAAGATTATATCGAGATATAGAGGGGATGAAACTTTATGTTTTTATGGACGGCCACTTAAAACATCCTGATGTATGTCAGGCCTTTATTGATGTCATGAAGGAAAAAACTAATGATGAGATAAATACCTTGTTTTTATCGATTCAGCCAGATGTAGGTGAAATTTTCCGTAAAGGAAGGAGCGTGATTAAGGAAAAGAAAAGACATAGAAACGAAGATGCGGAGAGAAGGAGACAAACACTCTTAGTAGACGAGGATACAACTTATAATATTCGGGTAATCAGCTGGGTGATATTCTATGGTCAGCACGAAATCTTTCAATATATTGAAAACAAAACTAAACAAAACAACGAAACAAAGTTAAATTTATTCCAACATCGACGTGTCTGCTCAGAGAAGCATCAATCTAAAAGGGACTTGGCTGCAATTAAAGAGCAACAAATGCAACATGAAATTATAAGTGAATCTTTAAACCTTCAGCTAAATGTTTCCAATTTTCAGCTACTGTCTGTCGAATCTGACAAACACATTTGTTGTCCTGGGTTCCTAAGAGAACAAAATCGACTATTAGTTCTCAGCTGCTATAGTGGGGATCTCGAGACTGTAAAAATTTTGATGAAATATATGAGCAAGGAGATCTTGGATATGTTACCCGTATACACAGAATTTCGAGGCGGAATGGACACTCCTCTTACAGCTGCCTGTTCCAACATACACATCAATGTAGTGAAAGAGCTACTTCAAGCAGGGGCTGATGTAAATAAAATTAATAGCCTGGGTGATTCACCATTAATTACTGCATGTACTGAGGGCAACAGCGAACTGCATTTGATCTTAGTAAATCTTCTTTACGACAATATTTTCGATCCTGATCTATATCGTCAGAAAATGCAATGTAGTGTGACAAGAATGCAAGATTTATTAGATACTCTTTTAGAAACAGGAGCTGATATTAATTCAAAAGGTCGATGGCACACACCACTGACAGCGTTATGTGAACATAGAGATAGCTTTTTTGTGAAATACTTGCTTCAGAAAGGAGCGGATCCCAACGTTTTCTGTGGAAGCAACACTCCGTTAACATCCGCGTGTCAGTCGGGATGTCTCGAAATAGTAAATGAATTATTGCAGGCCGGGGCTGATATTACTACGGAGAATGTGTTGTTCAAACCGCTGAAAATTGCATGTGAGTATGGTCACACAAGTATTGTTAAGACACTGTTTAATGTTGGGTGTGATATAAACATGCAGGATGGACTATCAACACCTTTGTCGACTGCCTGTCAAAATGGACATGTAGATGTCGTAATATTCTTACTTGAAGCAGGCGCTGAAATAAATTTACCAGAATATTTTACTATACCACTGATCGAAGCAAGTTCGGGAGGCCATTTAAAAGTAGTTCAAACATTATTAAAATGGGGTGCTAAAGTAAATGAAGACAAAACGTATTCCGATGTATTATCAGCTGCCGCTGACGGCGGTCATCTGAAAGTAGTTAAGGAGTTACTAGAGGCAGGCGTTGCTATTGACAGTAAAGACGGATACAATGCACTTGAAATAGCTTGTTCCAGAGGCCATATAGATTTAGTTAAAGAGCTTCTGGCATTACTTGTGATAGTAAATATCATAAGCCACTTATGCGTGCCTGTGAAATGGGACATTTAAATTTGGTAAAGGAACTTTTAGCAGCCGGAGCAGATTGCAATGCGCAGGACGATTGCAACTCACCCCTAGTTGCTGCATGTAGATACGGGAATCGTGAAGTAGTACGAGTGCTGATCAAATTCGGGGCTGACGTAAATTTATTTAATCCGAATTCTTTCTACCATTCAGCACCTCTTACAGTTACGTGCGAATCAGGACATTTCGAACTGATGCAAGAGCTGATTAAGTCTGGAGCGGATGTGAATTTGAAGGACAATGTAGGAACACCACTAACAGCTGCATTTAAAGGTTTAGATCGTGTACTAGTACGGCTAGTACGAGTTGAATCCGATACATCACTAGAACATGGCGTACAAATGAAAAGGCTACGGCCAGAAGAAAAGGAATTATCTTGTTTTCACCAATTATTGCAATGCAAACCAGATGTAACAGTATGTAACAAGTATGGTGAGTCGCCAATCTACATAGCTCTTCTAAGAAACAGAAAAGACATTTTAAAACTTCTCTTAAAGGTGGAAAATACAAATACACGTACCAGACGTAATGTGAATGAACACCTCTTTAATGTCCTTGTTCACTTAAGACATGCGGATGTGAAACGTGACGATGTAGTTACTAAAAGTAAGAGAACATGGGTGTTGTATGAATCGGGAGAATCTTTCAGAACTGTTTTTGAGGATGAATGTGAAATGTTGAATCATATGTTTACCTTAGGTCTCAATGTAAATCAGAACGTACAGATCTGTGATGAATACAGTAAGGAGGATGTAGGCGGTAAACCTTTGCTTTATAGCTTAATTTATTACTCCGCAAATGAAAAAGCCAAAAAAGTTGAACTACTTCTTAATGCGGAAGCAGACGTCAATATAAGAGTGCAACAAACAATGGATTCCGAGGCTTTGAACACAGAAGACTGTAATCCCGTTTTAGACAGATATGGCATATCTATTCTAGAAATGACACGACGCAGCAGGCACGCAACGTTGTTTCAACGTTGAAAGTAGGTGGAATATAGGTTGCAACGTTGAGCAACTATAGTTCAACGTTGTTTCAACGTTGAGGTTTCAACGTTGAATCCTCAACCTTTTTACAACGTTGAAACATCGTTGAAGATGCAACATATTTTCAACGTTGAATATTCGTCGATATTTCAACGTTGAAGATTCAGCATATTTTCAACGTTGAATGTTTGTTGTTATTTCAATGTTGAAACAACGTTGAAGCTGCACCATATTTTCAACGTTGAATGTTCGTCGAAATTTCAACGTTGATACACATTGAAGATTCAACATAATATTTTCAACGTTAAATATTTCCTGTTATTTTAAGGTTGAAGCGATGTTAAAAATGCAGCATATTTTCAACTTTGAATGTTCGTTAATATTTTTACGTTGAAACAACATCGAGGATGCAACATATTTTCAACGTTGAAAAAGTGAGGAAAATTTAATGTCGAAACAACGGGTAATGAGCGCCTTATTTTTCAAGGTCAAAATAGTAAGGGTTATTGAACGCTAAATCTGTGTAATTTTTTGCTACATATATATATATATATATATATATATATATATATATATATATATATATATATATATATATATATATATATATATATATATATATATATATATATATATGTATGTATGTATGTATGTATGTATGTATGTATATATATATATATATATATATATATATATATATATATATATATATATATATATATATATATATATATATATATATATATATATATATATGCATTGTTAGAAAATATCATGATTATTCACAATAAATGAAATGTATTATGAATTAATTTATTTAAATTTCATTCAAAAGAATTGAGCTTACAGTACTGTAATAAAATGTTAAATATGAGTTAATATGAAGTCTGACATCTAAATTCAACTCTCCACTGTAATTACATGTTTCAAAAAAGTTAATTTGTAAATTAATTCTGAATGCAGTTTTTACATAAATGAAAAAGAGAAACTTTTTTGTCCTTAAGATAAGCTTAATGACATCTTTATCCAATACTTCACTGTAATTCCATGTTACTATAGAATTAATAAAAATAATATTTTATTCCAAATTTATGTAATCGAATTAAACTTCTTAGATCCGTGCCGTATACTCTGCGCAGAATGTATACAGAGCGGATCTAAGAAGTCTGATTTTACATTAGATTGTGCTTTAATTTGTTGCATTTTTATGACAGGGAAAAAAGGGAAACATTATTAGATATATTACTGTAATCTTTCTTATCACAAAATAGAAAAACATTAAAATAAACACGTTACAAAAAGATTTAACAGTTTTTACACTAACAATTAACCCCGGTCAGTTTACATTACTTAGATCCACTCCCCAAATTTATCTTCAAGGCATCAGATAAGGAGTGGTTCTAACTTAGCTGGTCAGTTTCAGTGTCATGATAACCTTGTTATGCAATTTTCTTGCTGGGCAGCGATACAGAGAAGTCTGCAGCATTTCTAGGTCAAATTTTGAATTCAACTGATGGACAAGAAGTGCGCGTCTTCTTGCTGTTCACATATTATGTATTTTACACGCCATGCACAAGGATTAAGGCTAGATTATGAACTTCTGCTCAGTAAGTATAACTTCCTTTTCATGGATTTAGAAGAAATTTTAGATTTTCTAGTACCCATATATCATTTTATTCTTGTTTTGTAGCATATTTGTAATTTGCGTGTACAACTTTAATACTTTGCAACTACCAATGCCTTTATCCTTGCAACTTATTTTGAATGGAGACAATAACCTTACTTACAACCAAAATACTGCAGTATTTAAACTTGTTCATGAATTTATTACAAAGAGATTTGCATGATATTGTTTCTCTTCTTTTTTTTAAATTGTCAAACCATAGAACCAGCATCTATTTATGTGTTCTTATTAACTTTCACATTTAGGCCTCTATTATTTTTGTTAGTCATATACGTTAATTTGCAAACATATTTTATCATCAGCTCACTTATAATTAATTTTCTACCATTTATTTTGTCTTATTTTTATAAATTTCTTTTGAATATACACATGTATATATTCATTTTTTCAATGATATGTAACTAATATTTACTTGTAAATGTATGACATTAACCTTGTATTATGGAGAGGACTTATACAGGCAGTGCCTGTTGTCCAACCTTATTATGATTATACATAATAAAATATTGTTTAAATTAATCTGCGTGAAATGCACGTCCTTAGTTCGTGTATTTATGTGTTTGGTTGATATTCATTTGCTCATGAAATTAAAATATAGTATACAATTTAATTGCAGTTGGCCGTAAGGTTCCATCAACCACTGACGGCTTTGAGACGTAATTGATGCCCTGATTGGATGAGATCCATCGCCCGTGAAAATTACAAAGGAATGCAATATTGTGTATGTACACCTCCATGTTTTTAACATTTTTCTTCAGTAATAATTATTTATAATCACACTGTTACAGTTATGAATTTTAACACGAGGACAAATATAATTCTTTTCATTAATTCCAAGTATAAGAACATGTACTTTTGTCTGTTTTTATTTATTATTATTCATGTTTATTTTTATCATTTGAAATAACAAGTTATCAAATAAATGACTTTCATATCATTATTTCTTTTGGTAATAGGTTTTGCATTAGAGGATGGAGCTTCCTGTTCATTTCTTTCCGACTGACGAGTCATTTTGTGGGACTTACATGTAACTATGCGCTTGATTTAAAATCAATGGATCCGCCACTTGTGGAACTTAGTTTTAGACAGATGCGTGGTATGATGAACCTGGATATGATTACTGTGACCCCCTTTTCACTAGGAAGATAAATTTTGTTAAACAGTGATTTTTGAGATTCGTTGATTGGATCCTGGATTTTTAAAATACAGTTTAAAATAAATTTACTCAGAATCTTAATACTGAATTACAACTTACATATTTCGCAACTTGAATAAAAACTTTTATTAGAATGTGAAATGTATTTGTTTATAAAGCAAAACTCAGTATGACTTCAACGTGATTTCAACCAAATATCAACATTTGTACAACCAAAAAATTTCAACCAAAAGTACCTAATTTCAACCAATGTTCAACCTTTTCTCAATGTTGATATTTGACGTTGAAACAACGTTGAAGTTTCAACGTTGCCTCAACTTTCATTTGCAACCAAAATTCAACTATAAATCAACCAAAGTTCAACCCATTTTCAACGTCTCTTAAACGTTGAAAATTGACGTTGAAACAACGTCGATGTCTCAACGTTGCCTCAACTTTCATATGCAACCAAAATTCAACGTTGATTCAACGTTGAAGTGCAACGTTGATTCAACGTTGAATCAACGTTGAAATGCCTGCTGGGGAAGAAGGCTTTTATACGAAATTTCAGAATTTAAGATGGGTATTTACACTGACGAAGATGTTTTAGAATACAGAGATGTTTTATTTCAACTGAAAAAGCGAATAAGACGATCTTCTGTTTAAATATGTAGCATAGATCTCAATTAATTGGAAGAGAAAATATACCTAAACATGCTAAACTTTATCAATAAATGGAGAGTAATCAAGGAAGTAACCATGCCGTTTAAATTGTCCTTTATATTCATATGATAAAACGTTAAATGGTCCTTTTTCATTTAAATTTTCAAAAAATAAACGTAAATAAAATATTATTTTTTCCTTGCAAAGAAATCAATGAAGGGTGTTAATGGGACAGATCTATTATGTATGCACAGGGGTTGAACCATAGTTTGTCAAAAAAATTTCCGTAAATCTTATTTAACTCTGGCTCATGTTGTTTATCTTTTGGTCCCTTCTTTCTTTCCCTGTTATCAAAGATTCTTGTACAAATATACACGGTGTATTGTGATAATTGTGTGGAACCAGATATTCTTGGCCATCCTGTACTGTGTAAAGCATGCTTTCTTTGATTACCTACATTGTCAGTCGACAGGTGACGGTCGTTTAAATATGTTTTAAGTATATTTATTTTTGTGAT